AGGAGGGATTGGTGCAGCACATGGCCTCTCATCCCAATGGGGTGGTTGGGATTGACATCAATTATGGGTTTCCTCCACTGTGGGTTTCCCATGGAGTCAGGAACCATGATGGGCTGGGGTCTGGCCACTGATCCAGCATTCCCAAGGATTGGGATGAGGGTTTGGATCCCAATGGGCTGTTTGAGATTGACATTGTTGGGGGTTTCCTCCACTGTGGGTTTGCCATGGAATCAAGGACCATGATGGGCTGGGGTCTGCAACATTCCCAAGGATTGGGATGAGAGTTTGTTGCAGCACGTGACTCCTTATCCCAATGGGATATTTGGGATCAGCATCACTGTGGGTTTGCTATGGGGCCATCATCATTATGGGTTGGCTTTGGCCAGTGGCACGGCCATGATTCCAACATCCCCTTCCACCATGGCTGTAATTTCAACATCCCCCTCCAGAGTGGCCATCATTCCAACATCCGTCATTCCACTATGGCCATCATTCCAACACCCATGGCTCCAACATCCCATTCCACTGTGTCCATCATTCCAACATGTTCGTCATTCCAACATCCGTCATTCCAATATGGCCACCATTACAACATGGCCATTGTTCCAACACCCATCATTCCAGCATGGCCACCATTCCACCACGGCCATCATTCCAATACCCATCATCCCAACACCCACCATTCCAAAATCCATCATTCCAACATGGCCATCATTCCAACATCCCATTCCACCATGGCCACCATTCCAATACCCATCATCACAACATCCACCATTCCAATATTCATCATTCCAACATCCTCCATTCCACCATGGCCATCATTCCAACATTCACCATTCCACCATGGCCACCATTCCAACATTCCACCATGGCCATCATTCCAACATCCACCATTCCAACATCCCCTTCCAGCACCGCCATCGCTGTTTCCTCAGCCCAGCTTCCCAAAATCCCTGGAATCCCGCAGCTCCCGACCTTGCTGCTTCCTCATCATCTCCCAACCTCCTGGTCAACCACCAGCTCCATGGGAAGCGATTCCAGAGCCCAAATCCAGAGGGAGAAGGAGGGGGAAGGCAAAGCCATCAGCATTTCCAAGTGGTTCCTTCAAACCCAGCGCAGAGAACACAAATCCGGCTGTAATTAATCCCATTATCTTGGGAAGAGGGAGCTGCGGAGCGCTGAGAGGGTTGTCAAAAACCAGGAATCTGGCCGGGATAAGCCTCTGGGGGAGTTTAAGCTTGGACAGGCACCAGCTCTAAGCTGGTTTTGGGGGAGATGGGAGTGACAGGGAAATAAAGACGGGAGGACTTCAGCCTGGAGCAGGAAAATCCAGGAATGATTAATCCACCGCCCTGTTCCTTAAGGAATGAGACAAAAATAACCCAAAAAGGCCTCAGCAGCAGCTCCGTTGAATTCCCTGCAAAGCCCAAGTCAGCGGGCAGGAGTAGGATGGAATGTGGGATAGCCAATGGAATGTGGGATGTCCCACGGAATGCGGGATGTCCCATGGAACGTGGGATAGCCAATGGAATGTGGGATGTCCCACGGAATGTGGGATGTCCCATGGAACGTGGGATGTCCAATGGAATGTGGGATAGCCAATGGAATGTGGGATGTCCGATGGAACGCGGGATGTCCGATGGAATGTGGGATGTCCGTCTCCCACCCAAGGATCCACATCCTGCCCTGTGGAGCTGCTCCACATCCAACAGATCCTTCAGGAGAGGCATTTTGGGGCAGGAAAGGCTTTTCCAGCGAGCTCAGGGGATGAGGTCGGATTCCAGAGCCGGAGCAGGATCTGGAATGTTCCCAGCTCCCTCAGCTTCTCCCCTTGGCACCCTTTGCTGGCAGAGCCCAATTCCCAGGAAGAGCAGGGAACAATGATCCCTGATTGAGGCAGCTGCCTCGGATCTGGAAACTTGGAAAAACTCCTCCCAGCAGCTCCAGATCCCAGGAACAAAACCTGGAGCATTCCATGTCCATCTTTTCCATCTCCAGTTCCCGTCAGACCGGAGTGTCCCATGAACATCTTTCCCATCCCCAGTCCTCACCACACCTGGAATGTTCCATGTGGATCTTTTCTATTCCCAGTTCCCACCAGCACAGCTGGAACGTTCCATGTCCATCTTTCCCATCTCCAGTTCCCTCCACACCTGGAATATTCCGTGTCTGTCTTTTCCATCCCCAGTTCCCACCACACTTGGAATATTCCATGTCCATCTTTTCTATTCCCAGTTCCCACCAGCACACGGATGGAGCCAGAGAGGAGTTCACATGGAAGTGCTTCCTTGGGAAGAGCAGCCAGGAGGAAAACCCTTGGAATTTCCTCTGCATCCCAGGAGAGCATGGAGAACTGGGGTGAGTTGGGATGAGCTGGACAGGGACCTCCTCAGCAGGGACTGGAAAACTTGGGAAGGGCAATTCCTGCTCAAGGAAGGGGAAAAACTCAACCGAAGGCAAAATATTCCTGGATTTCTCCCCTGAAAATGCCTCTGCTCCCTAGGAACCCATACTGGAAATCCTGGGAAGGGTTTCCAAATCGGATGAGCCCCCAGTTTCAGACACTCCAGATCCCAACCCAACCTTCTATGGAAGCTATGGAAGTCCTTCCATAGCCCATTTTCAGGGTGGAATATTCCTGGATTTCTCCCTTAAAATTGGCTCTGCTCCCTATTTACCTCTACTGGAAATCCAGGGAAAGTTTTCCAAACGGGATGAGCCCCCAGAAGTTGCAGATTCCAGCTCCTCCTTGCATGGAAGGCAGGGAAGCTCTGCCCACCTTGAGGGTGAAATATTTCTGGATTTCTCTTCTAAAACTGGCTCTGCTCCCTATTTACCTATACTGGAAATCCAGGGAAAGTTTTCCAAACGGGATGAGCCCCCAGGAGTTGCAGATTCCAGTCCCTCCTTGCATGGAAGGCAGGGAAGCTCTGCCCACCTTGAGGGTGAAATATTTCTGGATTTCTCCTCTCAAATTGGCTTCGCTTCCTGTGAACCCACACTGGAAATCCTGGGAAGGTTTTACAAAGGGGATGAGGCCCCACAAGTCATGGACATTCCAACCTCTCCATGCATGGCGAGTATGGAATTACCTCTACTTGCATGGAACACCAAGAAGCTCTGCCCACCTTGGGGGTGAAATATTCCTGGATTTTTTCCCCTAGAATTGGCTCTGCTCCCTATTTACCCATACTGGAAATCCAGGGAAGGTTTTCCAAACGGGATGAGCCCCCGTGAATCTCAGATTCCAGCCCCTCCTTACATGGAAGGCAGGGAAGGCTCTGCCCACCTTTGGGGTGAAATATTTCTGGATTTCTCCTCTCAAATTTGCTTTGCTTCTGTGAACCCACACTGGAAATCCTGGGAAGCTTTTCCAAAGGGGATGAGCCCCCACAAGTCATGGACATTCCAACCTCTCCATGCATGGGAAGTACGGAATTATCTCTCCTTGCATGGAATACCTAGAAGCTCTGCCCACCTTGGGGATGAAATATTCCTGGATTTCTCCCCTAGAATTTGCTCCGCTCTCTATCCACCCACACTGAAATCCCGGGAAGTTTATCCAAAGGGGATGAGCCCTCACGAGTCCCATTTCCAAGCCCTCATCCCGCGGAATTCCCAGGAGCCGCTGCCGCCTGCAGAGCTCGTCAATCAGCCCCGAATGCAGCCAACGTTGATTATTTTTAGCCGGGGCCGCTGCGGTGTTTGTGCGCAGGAATCAGACCATGAAATCCCTGGATCCGGAGCATTCCCAGCTCTCCGGCGCCCGGAGCAGCTGAGCTGTGCCGGGGTGAGGCATCCAAAGCCTCCGAGTGTCATTCGATGCCACCTGATGTCCCCAAGGCGGGCGGCGCAGCTGGTGCCGGACACAGGAGCCCCGGGGCAGGCAGGAGCGGGGTCTGCCCTGGAATCAACCCCTGACCCCAATTCCCAGCCTGGAATGGGAAATGTGGGAAAAGCAGCACTGGCATCGGACAATCCAGCTCGGTGCCCGGCTCAGAGGGAGCGGGGGCAGCAAATCCGCTTTTTTTGGGATCGTTTCGGCCCCTGGAGCTGGATCGGCCCCATGGGGGCAGCGGCTGCTCCGTGGATTCCAAGGATGCAGTGAGGGCTGGGACAAGGAGAGGGGAATATCCCTGAGAGGTTTGGGATGAGGAGGGAGGGAATATCCCTGAGAGGGTTGGGATAAGGAGGGAATATCCCTGAGAGGCTTGGGATGAGGATGGAATATCCCTGAGAGGGTTGGGATGAGGAGGGAGGGAATATCCCTGAGAGGCTTGGGATGAGGATGGAATATCCCTGAGAGGGCTGGGATAAGGAGGGAATATCCCTGAGAGGGCTGGGATGAGGATGGAATGTCCCTGAGAGGGTTGGGATGAGGATGGAATATCCCTGAGAGGGTTGGGATGAGGTTGGATGGAATATTCCTGAGGGGGTCTGGATGAGGAGGGAATGTCCCTGAAATGGTTGGGATAAGGAGGGAATATCCCTGAGAGGACTGGGATGAGGAGGGAATATTCCTGAGATGGTTGGGATGAAGACAGGATATCCATCAGCATTTCCCATTACAGGGCTTGGGAATATCCATCCCATCACTGGGATGCTCCCCATGGAATTCCTGTTACAGGCAGGAATGGATCCAGTCCTAGGATGAGTTCCCAACTCCCTGGGCTGGGATTTTTCCAGTGCCGATGGAGAAGGTGGAAGTAGAGGAATGAGGGATGGATTTTCCCTCCATCCCACCCCATTCCTAGTGGGAAAAGAGGAAATTTTGGGGGTTTTTACCTGATTTTTAGGATGTGCAACTCCAGGGGGGTGCATCAGAATTCCAGAATTCCAGGATGGGCTGGAATCATCTGGAAGCTCATCCCATTCCATTGGAAACCTGCATTCCCAGGCTGCTCCAAGCCCCATCCTGGAGCATTCCCAGGGAAGCAGAACCCTTGGAATGCTGCTCCCAAATCCCAGAAAAGCCCCGAATCCACAAACCAAGGAAACCACAGCCATTCCTATGGGATTTATTTCCACGCTCCCCCTGTTTTCCTTTCCTCGGAAGCCGAGCGGGCTCGGCTCCCAAATCCAGGGGATTCCAGTACGGAAGATCCGCAAATTCCCAGTCGGGAACAGGAGTGGATATTGCAGCCAGAGCCGCTTTTTCGGGAGCTGCTCCCTCCCTTCCCGGCATTCCCAATATATACAGATTCCTTCTTTTTACAGGTAATAATTTACATCCTATTTATAATCCAGGGATTTCTATCTCTAGGGATTACCCACACACACACACACACACGCAGGGAAACCGGGAAAACCCCGCCGCTCCCAACTCCAGATCCGCTGGATCTGCTGGAGAATCCCGCGTTTTTCCCAGTTTTTTTCCTCGCAGCGGCTCGAGCACTGCTCCCGGGAATTCGGGGGACTCCTGAGGTAGGAAATTCGGGAATTCCGGGCGGCCTCAGAGTGCCAGCGGGAGCTGCCAGATGAGCAGGGAGCTGTCGGCAGCTCCGGAGCGGCGCGCGGATTCCGCACGGAAATCCCGGTACCCGCGGCCTCCGGAGACGATGGCCACGGAGGAGATTTCCTTGCGGGAAGAATCCCGGGAGCACGGCCGGCTCCGCACCCACACGTCGGGATCGTCGGCCAGCTCGTAGATGGATCCGTCCTCCTCGGCGTGTCCCGGCGTTCCCGGCGTTCCTGGTGCCGCTTCCCGCACGGAGAGCAGCTGGCCGGGCAGGTGGGATGTGGAGCGCAGCCGGTATTGTAACAAAATCCCTTTTTTCCGCATTTCCCGCGGCTGGAGCCCCTCGGGATCCGGGGATTTCTCCCCCTCGGCCTCGTCGGGCTCGTCCTGCTCGGCCCGGAGGGCGTCGGGGGCCAAAGTGCTCAGAGCCAGCGCCAGGAACTGCACGGGGCCAGCGTGGCCGTTCAGGGACACCATCCCCTTCCCTGGAAAACAGCGGGATCAGCATGGGAACGGGAACAGGAACAGCGGGATGGGAACGGGAACAGCAAGATGGGAACAGAAACAGCAGGATCGGGATGGGAACAGAAACAGCGGGATCGGGATGGGAGCGGGAACGGAAACAGTGGGATCGGGATGGGAATGAGTCTGGGAATGGGCTGGGAATGGGCCTGAAATAGGCTGGGAACAGAAACAGCGGGATTGGGATGGGAACAAGTCTGGGAATGGGCCAGAAATGGGCTCGGAACAGAAACAGTGGGAAGGGAACAGAAACAGTGGGATAGGGATGGGAATGGGAATGAAAACAGTGGGATCAGGATGGGAATGAGACTGGGAATGGGCCAGAAATGGGCTGGGAATGGAAACAGTGGGATGGGAACAGAAACAGCGGGATCGGGACGGGAATGATTCTGGGAATGGGCTGGGAATGGGCTGGGAACAGAAACAGTGGGAAGGGAACAGAAACAGTGGGATAGGGATGGGAACAGGAACAGAAAGAGCAGGATGGGAACAGAAACAGTGGGATCGGGATGGGAGCAGGAACGGAAAGAGCGGGATCAGGATGGGAATGAGACAGGACATGGGCTGGGAACGGGCTGGGTACAGAAACAGTGGGATAGGAACAGAAATAGGGGGATCGGGATGGGAATGAGACAGGGAATGGAAATGGAAACAGCAGGATGGGAATAGAAACAGCCTAGGAATGGGCTGGGAATAGGAACAGCGAGATTGGGATGGGAATGAGCTGGGAATAAGCTGAGAATGGTTGGGAATGGGCTGTGACTGGAAACAGTGGGATTGGGGTGGGAACAAGATGGGAATGGGCTGGGAATGAGCTGGGAATAGGCTGGGAATGGCACTGTGTTTTGGGAATCGCATTGTTTTTCAGCTGTGCTGCTGTTTTTTGGGAACAACGCCGGTTTTTGGGAAAAAAGCCATTTTTTGGGAACAATGCTGTTTTTTGGGAATGGTGCTGGTTTTTAGGAACGGCACTGCTTTTTGGGAATGGGCACTGTTTTTTGGAAACGGCGATGCTTTTTGGGAATAAAGCCATTTTTTGGGAATGGTGCTGTTTTTTGGGAACAGCACCATTTCTCCGGGATTGGTGCTGTTTCTCCAGGAACGTCGCTGCTTTCCCGGCAAGCTCACCGGTGATTTTCGGGATGCCCTCCAGGCGCGGCACGGGCAGCAGGACGATGATTCCCAGATCCGTCCCCACCCAGAGCGAGCCCTGGCACAGCAGCAGGCTGGTGACGCGCACGAGCTTCTGCCCTGCAGCGGGAAAATCCGGGAAAAACCGGGATCAGGGAGAATTCCTATGGCCCAACTTCCAGCTGGCCACAGGGTTTCCATAGGGATCGGCCTCAGGAAGATCCCGGCAGATCCGCACCCAGAGGGGAGCACTGGGAATAGAAAGGAATCAATAGAGGAAAAAGAAGAAGTGGGAGAAAAGCGAGATTCCAACAGAAAATGAGAATTTTATGGGAAGGAGTTAGCGGGAGTTGGGAAAGCAATAAATCCAGGGAAAGAGAGAAATTCAGGGAAAGAGAGAAATCCAGGGAAAGATGAATCCAAGGAAAGCGATAAATCCAGGGAAAGAGAGAAATCCAGGGAAAGATGAATCCAAGGAAAGCGATAAATCCAGGGAAAGAAGTAAATCCAGGGAAAGGTTAACTCAGGGAAAGAGAGAAATCCAGGGAAAGATGAATCCAAGGAAAACGGTCAATCCGGAGAAATCGATAAATCCCCAGCGCTGTGGCTCATGGAGGAGCTGCCGCATTCCAGAGGGTTTGGGAGCAGGAGTTCAAATGGATTTAATCCCAACATTCCCGCCCACAAATCCAGGGATGGGAGGGATATTGGGAAATCGGGATATCAGACATGTCTGGAAAAAGAGGGAAAAGGGGAAAAACCAGGGAATTACTCAAGTCTGGTGCTCAGAACTAATGAAGGGATTATGGAGCTGTGGAGTGGGAATGATGTTGGGATAACGCAGAGAGAGAGTGGGAATGAGGCTGGATAACCTGGAGAGGGACAGGGATGGGGGACACGGATGGGATTGCCGGACAAAGTCAGGATCCAGGGGTGGGATCATGGAACAAATTTGAGATCCAGGGAAGGGATCAGGGCATGAAGTTGGGATCCAGGGATGGGATTATGGGACACAATTCCTGCCCAGCTCCTTCCCTGTTCCTTAGGAAAGCTGCAGATCCTGGTGGGACACCCTGGGGTGCCCCATTCCCTGATTCCCCTTGGATCCTTTAATTAATCTCCCTCATTAGCTGTTAATTAGGATCCCACTGGGCAGCGGGTAAGTCCCATCCCTAATTCCCTATGGATCCATAAATTAACTCCCACACCTCGTTAGTGCTGATTGGGCACTCACTGGGCAGCAGGGCGGTCCCACTTCTTGATTCCTCATGGATCTATTAATTACCCTAATCAATCGTTAATTGCTCATTGGCCAGCAGCAGGGTGGTCCCATTTCCTGATTCCTCATAGATCCAATAATTAAGGACCCTAATCAATTATTAATTGCTCACCGGGCAGCAGCAGGGTGGTCCTGGTGGCCACGTTGATCTCCTGGAGGTGCTCCTGGGTCTCGGTGTGGAACAGGCGGATGGAGGAGCCCTCGGCAAAGGCCATCCACACCCCGCTGCCCGCCCGCACCATCAGCGTCACCGCCGCCGCGGGGTCGGGGTGCGCCTCGAAACAGTGCTGGGGGTTCCCAACATTCCCGGGATTACTGACATTCCCAATATTCCCACAATCCCCCCAGGAACAGGCGGATGGAGGCCATCCACACCCCGCTGCCCGTTTGCACCACCAGTGTGACGGCCACCATGGGGTTGGGCTGTGCCTCAAAATGGTGCTGGGGGATTCCCAACATTTCCAGGATTACTGACATTCCCGACATACCCAAAATTCCCAGAATTCCTGCTCTGGGAGCACAGAGCTGTATCGGGAATTCGGTTCCCAGCCCTCCCCACCAGAATCCAGCCCCACTCCAAGCTCCTTCCAGGGCTTTTTCCCATTCCTCTTCCCCATCCCCTTCCCATTCCCACTGTTCCCCTGTTCCTGTTCCCATTCCCATTCCCACTCCCATTCTTCTTCCTCTTCCTGTTCCCATTTCCATACCCATTCCTGATCCCATCCTCATTCCTGTTCCCACTCCCATTCCCGTTCCTGTACCCATTCCCAATCCCATTCCTGTTTCTATTCCCATTCCCGCTCCCATTCCCATTCTTCTTCCTCTTCCTCTTCTCATTCCTGTTCCCGTTTCCATTCCTATTCCCACTCCCATTCCTGTTCCTGCTCCCATTCCCATTCTTCTTCCTGTTCCTATTCCCATACCCATTCCTGATCTCATTCCCGTTCCCATTCCTGTTTCCATTCCCATTCCCATTCCCGCTCCCATTCCCATTCTTCTTCCTGTTCTTGTTCTCATTCCCGTTCCCATTTCCATTCCCACTTCCATTCTTGTTCCCATCCCCAATCCCATCCCTATCCCCATTCCCAATCCGGTTCCTGTTCCCGCTCCCATCCCTATCCCTATCCCCATCCCTATCCCCATCCCCATTCCAAATCCCGTTCCCACTGTTCCCGCTCCCATTCCAATCCCTATCCCCATTCCCATTCCCATTCCCATTCCCATTCCCATTCCTATCCCCATCCCTATCCCATTCCCATCCCCATTCCCGTTCCCGCCGTTCCCGTACCTGGCTCTGCAGCTCAGGTGTCCCCAGGACGCTGACGAGGTTCTGGGAGCTGGCCCAGAGCGACTCCTCCAGCACCAGCAGCGCCCGCACGGGGCCCGGCCCCACCTGCAGCACCCGCACCGAGTCCGCGTCCCACAGACCCTCTGGGAACGGGATCACCGGGAATGGGGTCAGGAACGGGGCCAGGAATGGGCCTCAACCCCACCTGGAGCATCCCCACCGAGCCCGCGTCCCACAGACCCTCTGGGAACGGGATCACCGGGAATGGGGTCAGGAATGGGGTCAGGAATGGGCCTCAACCCCACCTGGAGCATCCCCACCGAGTCCGCGTCCCACAGACCCTCTGGGAACGGGATCAGCGGGAATGGGGTCAGGAATGGGCCCAGCCCCACCTGGAGCGCCCGCATGGAGCCCACATCCCACAGACCCTCTGGGAATGGGGTCAGGAATGGGGTCAGGAATGGGCCCCGAACCCACCCAGAGCATCCACAACAAGCCTGTGTCCTTTAAACCTCTGGGAACGGGATCAGCGGGAATGGGGTCAGGGATGGGATAACAGGGAACAGGAAAACATGGAATGGGAAAACATGGAACAGGATAACATCAACAGAATAACAGGGAATGGGATAATGTGAGATGGGATAATGGAATGGGATAACAGAATGGGATAATATGAAATGGGATAATGGAATGGGATAACAGAATGGGATAATGTGGAATGGGATAACGGGGAATGGGATAACTGAATGGGAAAATGAGGAATAGGATAACAGGGAATGGGATAATGGAATGGGATACCAGGGAATGGGGAACAGGATAACAACAGGGAATGGGATAACAGGGATTGGGATAAAAGGCAACAGGGTAACAGGAGAAACACAGAACACTCAGCACACATGGAACAGAGTAAGGGAAAACAGGGAATGCTGAGCACACACAGAACGGGATAACAGGGAAAACAGGGAATGCTGAGCACACGTGGAATGGGATAACAGGGAAAAGGGAATACAGGGAACTCGGCACAGCCGAGAAGCTCCAGGTGCAGCTGAGCTCCCCCCAAGGGTCACCAGGAGGGTCATTCCCACTTCCCAACAATCCCAAAATTCCCTTTTCCCGCTGCACAGGGCACTGGAGCAGGAAAGGAGCAGCCACCTCCACCCTGAGGGCTCCTTAGAAAAGCCCAAATTCCAATTTTTTAAATGGATTCACTCCACTCCAGGCCCAGTCCCAAGGATCTGGGAGCAGCTGGATCCATGATGAACCCATGGCCAGAGGCTCCGATCCATCATCACTTTCCTCCTTTTTATTCCCAATCCATGTTTTTGTATCCAAACCCTGATATCCCAGGAATTTGGAGCCTTTGGATTCTCCAAGCCCTGCTCCCAGCACATCCCAATTTCCAGGGAAAAGGAGCAATTCCAGGGAAGCTCATTCCTCCCAAAAAATCGGGATGAGGTTAAGAACTCCCCACTGTGGCTGCTGTTTAATCAATTAAAATGAATTAAATCCCTTTAATTGGCTCCAAGCATTGTCATCATTTGGGAAAGGGGATGGGCACAATCCCAAAAATCCCATTTTAGGGGGATTTGGTGGCTCAGGATTCAAACAGGTGCTGCTTCCTGCAGCTTTTCCTGGAGAAAACTCGGAATTGTGTCCAAAAATTCCACCAGATTCCCAGCTCTCCCAAACCCCCTAGTGATGAAAACAGGGAATTTCCCAACCCAGGAATTCCTGCAGAAGAGGGATCGCAACAGGATGGGACCTCAGCCTGAGCCAAATCCCGGGAAAACGACCCCAAAATCCAGGGAATAAAGGGAATTTTCCACCTGGGGGAGGTGGTGGGGACCAATGCCATTTCCAGCCCTAACACTGGGAATTTTGGGAAGGCAAAAATTCCCATTCCTTGTGATCCCACCCTGGATCTTGCAGCAGCCCCTCTCCAGGACCATTTCCCCAAGGTTTTCCCCCAAAATGAGTTTGTTTGGAGCCACCATGGGAAAATGGGATTTTCCTGCTCTGGGGCTGCCAAGGGAATGGGAAAATATTGGGAAAACGCAGGAAAAATGGGGATTTATCCAAAATGGGAAATCCTAAATGGGGATTTACCCTAAATGCAATGTCCTAAGTGGGCATTTATGCCAATCCCAATAGGATATCCTAAATATTGATCCTAAATATGGATTCATCCCCATGGGATATCCTAAATGGGGATTTATTCTAAAAAGGGATTTATCCTGATGGGATATCCTAAATAGGAATTGATCCCGATGGAATATCCTAAATGGGGATTTATCCCGACAGGATTTCCCAAATAGGGATCCATTCCAAACCCAACGGGATATCCTAAAGGGGGATTTATACTAAAGGGGGATTTATCCCAATTCCGACAGGCTATCATAAACAGGGATCCATCCCAATCCTGATGGGATATCACAAACAGGGATTCATCCCAATCCCGACAGGATATCTCAAAGGGGGATTTATCCTAAGGGGGGATTTATCCTAAAGGGGGATCTATCCCAATCCCGACAGAATATCTTAAACAGGGATTCATCCCAATCCATGTGGGATATCCTAAAGGGGGATTTATCCTAAAGGGGAATTTATCCTAAAGGGGAATTTATCCCACTCCCAATAGGATATCCTAAACAGGGATTCACCCCAATTCATGTGGGATATCCTAAAGGGAGATTTACCTAAAGGGAGATTTATTCTAAAAGGAGATTTATCCCAAAGGGGGATCCATCCCAATCCTGACAGGATATCCTAAACAGGGATTCACCCCAATTCATGTGGGATATCCTAAAGGGGGATTTATCCCAATCCCAATAGGATATCCTAAACAGGGATTTATCCTAAAGGGGAATTGATCCCCAACCCAACAGGATATCCTAAAGGGGGATTTATCCTGAAGGGGGATCCATCCCAAAGGAGGATTCATCCCAAATGGGGATTCATCCTAAAGGGGGATTTATCCTAAAGGGGAATCCATCCCAAAGGAGGATTCATCCCAAGGGGGGATTCATCCCAATCCCGATGTGATTTCCCAACAGGCCCCGTCCCATTCCCGCGGGGTTTTCCGGGCTCTCACCGTGGTTGCGGGGGAAGGCGGCCACGGCGCCGTCCTGCAGCCCGGCCAGCAGGAACGCGGGGCTGTTCCGCAGGCACAGCACGGGCACCGCGCCCGGCACGCGGCACCGCTGCAGCACCGGCGTCCCCGCCGCCACCGCGCCGAACACCAGCACGCTGCGGGACAGAGGCACCGTCAGCGTCGGGATCATCATCGGGATCATCGGCATCATCATCATAGGGATCATAGGGATCATCGGGATCGGCCCCAGAGCGCAGGCAGGGACAGCAGGGTTGGAATCGTCAGGATCATCGGGATAGGGATTGGCCCCAGAGTACGGGGAGAGAATGGGATTGGGATCATCAGGATTGGAACTGGCCCCGGAGCAAGGGGAGAGAACGGGATTGGGATCATCGGGATTGGGATTGGCACCAGAGTACAGGGAGAGAACAGGATTGGGATCAGCCCCGCAGCACAGGGAGAGAAAGGGATCGGGATCAGCTCCACAGCACAGGGAGATACCTCAGGATTGGGATTGGCCCCACAGCGTGGGGAGAAAATGGGACTGGAATCGGCCCCACAACACAGGGAGATGGTGGGATCAGAGCTGGGATTCAGGATCAACCCTGGAGCATGGGCAGGGATCAGGATCGGCCCCAGAGCACAGGCAGGGAGAGTGGGGTCGGGATCATCAGGATCGGAATCGGCCCCGGAGTACAGGGAGAGAAAAGGACTGGGATCGGGATCGGCCCCGCAGCGTGGGGAGAGAATGAGATTGGGATCACAGGGATCATCAGGATTGGGACTGGCCCCGGAGCCCAGGGAGAGAACCCGGGATTGGGATAGGCCCCGAAGCGCTGGGAGAAAATGGGATTGGGATCGGCCCCACAGTGCAGGGAGACAGCGGGATCAGGGCTGGGATTCAGGATCAACCCTGGAATGTGGGCAGGGATTGGGATCAGCCCCGCAGCACAGGGAGAGAGCGGGAGCGGGATCAGAATTGGCCCTGGAGCGCAGGGGAGAGAAACGGATCAGGATCGGGATCAGCCCCGGAGTGAGGGGAGAGAGCAGGATCGGGATCGAGATCGGCTCTGGAGCATGGGGAGGGAACGGGGTGGGAGCTGGGATTTGGGATCAGGGCTGGGATCCAGGATCAGAGCTGGGATCCGGGATGGGAGCTGGGACCTGGGATCATGCCTGGGATTTGTGACGGGACCCAGGATTTGGGATGGGAGCTGGGATTCGGGATGGGAGCTGGGATTTGGGATGAGGGCTGGGATTCACAATGGGAGCCAGGATTCGGGATCTCACCTCCCGTCCTGCAGCCCCAGGCACACTGCGGGGTGGGGGGCGTTGGGGGTCGGCTCCGGGGCCATTCCCTGCTCCGCGGGATCCTCGGGATGCGGCTCCGGGATGAATTCCATGCACAGCACCGGGGCCGGCACCGGGAAGGATTTGACGGTTCGGGGCACGGAGCGGTTCAGGGAGAAGATCTCCACCTGCCCCCCCGCCCCCTCCTGCCCCCCTCCCACCTGGGGGAAAGTGGGAAAAGCGGGAATGAGCATCCCGGGATTGCAGCAGAGCCATCCCAAATCCCAATCCCAATCCCAGATCCCAAATAATCCCAAATCCCAGGATCTATTGGGGTTGTGCTCACCCACAGATCCCCACCTGCCCTCCCAGCCCCTTCTGCTCCCCTCCCACGGGCAGGAAAAGTGGGAATGAACACCCCTGGGAAGAGGATTCCAGCCAGAGCCATCCCATATCCCAAACCCCAAACAACCCCAAATCCCAAATCCCAAACAACCCCGAATCAACCCCAAACCCCAAACAACCCCAAACAACCCCAAACCCCAAATCCCAACCCCCAAGTAACCCCAATCCCCAAATAACCCCAAAACCCAAAAAAACCCAAACCCCAAATCAACCCCAAATCCCAAACCCCAAATAACCCCAAAACCCAAAAAAACCCAAACCCCATATAAACCCCAAATCCCAAACCCCAAATAACCCCAAACCCCAAATAACCCCAAACCCCAAACACCACCAAACCCCAAATAACCCCAAACCCCAAAAAATACCCAAAACCCCAAATAACCCCAAATCTCTAATCACCCCAAACAACCCCAAACCCCAAACCCCAAAAAACACCAAACCCCAAACAACACCAAACCCCAAAACAACCCCAAATCCCAAACCCCAAATAACCCCAAATCCCAACCCCGCAGTCTGGGCTGTGCTCACCCACAGGAATCCCTGGGGCAGGGAGGTGCTGACGGCCGAGAACCCCAGGAGCGAGGAATGGACGGGATTGTGGACGGCAGCTCCGAGCTGGGGGAACCAAAACGTCGGGATCGGGATTGGGATTGGGATCGGGATCGGGATTGGGATCCAGCCCGGCTGCAATTCCCCAATTTCCCCTCAGAATGCCCCAGTTCCTGCCTTTTCCAGCTCCTCCACTGTGGGATTTATGGGATTTGTGCTTTTCCACCCCAAAATCATGGCTATGAAGGAAAAGGGGTTGGAGAACCCAAATCACCCCAAGCAGGCAGCAGATCAGTCAGAACCCCAAAATTCAGGATCGGGCTGCCATTCCAAATTTTCCCCCTTAGATTCCATCAATTCCTTCATTTTCCAGCCCCTCCACTGTGGGATTTGTGCCTTTCCGCCCCAAAATCATGGATATGAAGGGAAAGGGGATGGAGAACCCAAACCATCCCAAACTTGCAGGGGATCAGTCAGAGCTCCAAAATTTGGGATCCAGCTGCCATTCCAAATTTTCCCCCTTAGATTCCATCAATCCCTGCCTTTTCCAGCCCCTCCACTGTGGGATTTGTGGGATTTGTGCTTTTCCACCCCAAAATCACGGATATGAAGGGAAAGGGGATGGAGAACCCAAACCATCCCAAACTTGCAGGGGATCAGTGGGAACCCAAAAGTTCGGGATCCGGCTGCCATTCCCAACTTTGCTCATTGGAATGCCCCAATCCCTGCCTTTTCCATCCCCCCCAGGATGGGATTTGTGCCTTTCCCAGCTGGATTTGGGGTTTTCCATCCCCTCCAGTTTGGGATTTGTGGCTTTCCCACCTGGATTTGGGGTTGTCCATCCCCTCCAGGGTGGGATTTGTGTCTTTCCCAACTGGATTTGGGATTGTCCATCCCATCCAGGTTGGGATTTGTGCCCTTCCCGGCCGGATTCGGGTTTTTTCCGGCTCTCACCTGCAGATCCAAGGCTTTGGAGGAGAAGGCTGGAATGTGGCAGGACAGGATGGGGCACCAGAAGGGCGCTCGGCTCTTCCTGTCCTCGTCGGGGCAGAGCCAGCCCGGCTGGTTCTCATCCCCTGCAGAAAACCGGGAGAACCGGGATCACCCCAGCCCAAACTCCCCCTCTGGGATCCATCCCCACCCCAATCCACCGCTTTCCATGGATTTGGGATGTGTCCCATCCCCTCCTCGGAATTATTGCAGTGTGGAGGGGGAAAAAAATCCCAAAAAACCAAATTTATGGGAAAGAATTCCATCGTAAGGCATTCCCTGAGATCAGGCTGGGATGGGGATTCTGGCTCGTGGATATGGGATATCCAACCTCGAAAAGATCCCAAACCTTCTCCAAAACCTTCCCAATCTCCTTCAAAACCTCCCAGACTCCCAAATCTCCCCAACCTTTTCCAAAACCTCCCAAACCTTCTCCAAAAACTTCCAAAAACCTTGTCCAAAACTTCCTCCAAAACCTTCCCAACCTCGTTCAAAACCTCCCAGACCTTCTCCAGAACCTCCCAAATGTCCTCCAAAATCTCCCAAACCTTCTTCAAAAACTTCCAAAAACCTTCTCCCAAACCTCCCCAACATTCTCAAAAAGTTCCCAAACCTTTCCCAGGACCTCCCAAACCTTCCCCAGAACCTCCTCCAGAACCTCCCCAAACCTTCTCCAGAAGTTCCCCAAAACCAACCCAACATTGTCGAAAGCCTCCCAAAACTTCCCCAGAACACCCAAACCTTCCCCAAACCTCCCAAACCTTTCCCAAAACCCTGTCCAACCTTCTCCGGAACCTCCCCAACATTCCCCAAACTTCCCCAAAACCTCTGGAACCTCACCAGCCTTCTCAGAACCTCCCTAAAACCTTGGGGAACCACAAGTTCCCCAAAGCCTCCCAAACCTTCTCCAGAACCTCCTCAAAACCTCCAGAACCAACATTCCCCAAACTTTTTCAAACCTTCTCCAAAAATCTCCCCAAACCTTCTCCAAAAACCTCCCCAAACCTTCACCAGAACCTCCCCAACCTCCTCAGAAAATTCCCAAACCTTCTCCACAAGGTTCCCCAAAGCCCCAATCCTTCTCCAGAACATCCCCAAACTTCCAGAACCTCCCCAACATTCCCAAAACTTTTCCAAACCTTCTCCAGAACTTCCCCAAACCTCCATAACCTCCCCAGCATTCCCCAAACCTTCTCCAGAACCTTCTCCAGAACATCTCCAACATTCCCAAAACTTTTCCAAATCTTCTCCAAAAACCTTCCCAACCTTCACCAGAACCTCCCCAAAATCTTCTCCAGAACCTCTCCAGCCTTCTCAGAAAATTCCCAAACCTTCTCCACAAGCTTCCCCAAAGTCTCCCAAACCTTCTCCAGAACCTCCCCAACATTCCCCAAACCTTCTCCAGAACCTTCCCAAACATTCTCCAGATCCTCCCCAGCATTCCCAGAAAATTCCCAAGCCTTCTCCACAAGGTTCCCCAAAGCCCCCAACCCTTCTCCAGCCCTTCCCGCCCTGCTCCATGCCCTGGTTCCCGCTTTCCCCTTTCCCCTCCCGGGATCCCGGGCAGGGCAGGACTCACGCAGGCCGATCTTGGCCAGGTGCAGCCGGTTCACCCAGGAGATCTTGCTCAGGGGGCTGGGGGTGATGAACACCACCATGACACTGATGGGGCGCCCCGACCTGCGGGACACGGCGGCCTTCAGCCTCATCCTCACCCCCATCATCCTCACCATCTTCATCGTCACCCCCATCATCCCCATCATCTTCATCCTCACCCCCATCATCCTCCTCTTCATCATCATCATCTTCATCCTCATCCTCATTATCCTCCTCTTCATCACCTTCATCCTCCTCACCATTATTATCCTCAACCCCATCATCCTCCTCATCTTCATCCTCATCCCCATCATCCTCATCATTATCTTCATCCCCATCATGTTCATCCTCACCCCCATCATCCCCCCCATGATTGTTATCCTCATCCCCATCATCCTCCTCCTCCTCATCTTCATCCTCATCCCCATCATCCTCCTCCTCATCATCTTCATCCTCATCATTATCCTCATCCCCATCACCTTCCTCATCTTCATCCTCACCCCATCATCTTCCTCCTCATCTTCATCCTCCTCTCTCCTCACTATCGTTATTCTTATCCTCATCATCCTCCTCATCTTCATCCTCATCCCCATCATCCTCCTCCTTCTCATTATCTTCATCCTCATCCCTATCATCCTCCTCCTCCTCTTCATTCTCATCATCCTCATCATCTTCATCCTGCTTTTTCCTCCTCCTCATCCTCCTCCTTTCTCCTCTTCCTCCTCCTCTTCCTTATCCTCATGTTCCTCATCATCACCTTCATCCTCCTCCCCACCATCCTCCTCCTCATCATCTTCATCCTCATCCGCACCATTCTCCCCTCCTCCTCTTCTTCATCCTCATCATCATCCTGCTCTTCTTCCTCCTCCTCTTCCTTATGCTCATCTTCCTCCTGCTCTTCATCCTCCTCCTCCTCTTCCTCCTCCTTCTCATCTTCCTCATCTTCACCCTCCTCCTCATCTTCCCCCATCTCTTCTTCATCCTCCTCATCATCATCCTGCTCTTTTTCCTCCTCTTCCTCCTTTATCCTCCTCTTCCTCCTCTTTCTCTTCCTTATGCTCATCTTCCTCATCATCATCTTCATCCTCTTCATCCTACTCTCCATCCTCCTCCTCCTCCTCCTCTTCTTCATCCTCCTCCTCTTTCTCATCTTCTTCCTCACCCTCACCCACCTCCTCTTCCCCATCCCCACTTTCCTCCTCCTCCTCCATCCCGGATTCCCGCCTCACTTGTCGGGTTTCCCGGGCAGCAGCAGCCGCAGCCGGCACTTGTTGGCCGAGTGGATTTCTTCCTCCTTGACCTTCATCATCCTCTGCAGGGCCAGGCACCAATCCTGCGCCACCGTCATGTTCAGGTTCTGGAGAACACCGGGAACGCTCCCTCAGAGCCGGGAACAGCCCGGATCCCACCCGGAGCAGCTGTGGCGGTTCCCGGGAATGCGGCGGTTCCCGGGAATGTGGTGATTCCCGGGAATGTGGCATTTCCTGAGAATGTGAGAGCTCCCCAGGAACGCGGCGGTTCCCGGGAATGTGGCGGTTCCCGGGAAGGAGGTGGTTCCTGGGAATCTGGAGGTTCCCAGGAATGCGGCAGTTCCTGGGAATGCGGCGGTTCCTGGGAATGTGGTGATTCCGGGGAATGTGGCATTTCCCAAGAATGTGGAAGGTTCCTGGGAATGTGGCGGCTCCTGGGAATGCGACGATTCCCAGGAATGCGGCGGTTCCTGGGAGCACAGCAGTTCCTGGGAATGTGGGCAGATCCCAGGAATGCGGCGGTTCCCAGAAATGTGGCACTCTTGGGAATGTGGTGGTTCCCGGGAATGTGGGCAGTTCCCAGGAATGCAGGCGGTTCCCGGGAATGCAGGTGGTTCCCTGGAACCTGGCGGCTCCAAGGAATGCAGTGATTCCCAGGAATGCGGCCGTTTCCAGGAATGCGGCGGCTCCTGGGAAGGCGGCAGTTCCTAGGACTGCAGAAGTTCCTGGGAATGCAACAGTTCCCCGGAACGTGGGCAGTATCCAGGAATGCGGCAGTTCCCAGGAATGCAGCAGTTCCCAGGAATATGGCAGTTCCCAGGAATGTGGGCGGTTTCCGGGAATGCGGCAGTTCCCAGGAATGCAGTGGTTTCCAGGAATGTGAGCGGTTCCCGGGAAGGCGGGTGGCTCCCGGGAATGTGGCGGTTCCCAGGACCATGGCGGTTCCTGGGAATGCAGTGATTCCTGGGAATGTGGCGATTCCCAGGAATGCGGGCAGTTCCCAGGAATGTGGCGGTTCCTGGGAAAGCAGCAGTTCCTGGGAATGTGGCAGATCCCAGGAATGTGGTGGCTCCCAGGAATGTGGGCAGTTCCCGGGAATGTGGCGGTTCCTGGGAATGTGACGCTTCCTGGGAATGCAGGCGGTTCCCAGGAATGAGGTGTTTCCCAGGAACGCGGCGATTCCCGGGAATGCGGAGGTTCCCGGGAATGTGACAGTTCCCAGGAACGCAGCGGTTCCCGGGAAGGTGGCGGTTCCTGGGAATGCAGCAGTTCCTGGGAATGTGGCGATTGCCAGGAATGTGGGCAGTTCCCAGGAATGTGGTGGTTCCCGGGAAGGCAGCAGTTCCCGGGAAAGCAGCAGTTCCCGGGAATGCAGCGGTTCCCGGGAATGCGGCCGTACCTGGTAGGTGCCGTGCAGCGTGCTGACGAGCAGCGTGATCTGCTCCACCACCGCCAGGTCCTTCTGCAGGTCCTGCAGCTCCTGGAAGAGCCGCGGGGGGCCCAGGTAGACCTTGTCTTTGGGGAGAAAAACCGGGATTTCAGGCACATGGAGCGCCACGGGATCCACCGGGCTGGAGAAGATCCGAGATGGAGCCCAGCCCGTGACCCAACTCCACCAGGGATGGCCCCGAGCACCACGGATGCTGCTCCTCAAACATTTCATCACCCACAGTCGTGAAATCCCCCAAATCCCAGCCCGGAGAGGTTCTCCTGCCGGGAATGAGGCTGGAGCGCCATATCCATGACTGCATCATCTCCCAGAGTGATGAAATCTGCCTAAAATCCCCCAAATCCCAACCCAGGGAGGTTCTCCTGCGGGGAATGAGGCTGGAGCGCCACATCCGTGACTGCATCACCTCCCAGAGCAGTGGAATCGCCTCAAACCCCCCAAATCCCCTAAAACCCCCCAAATCCCATCCCACCAAGATCATCCCAACAGGAATGAGGCCCTGACCATCGCCCAGAATGGAGAAATCCCCTAAAACCCCCCCAAATCCCAGCCCAGGGAGGTTCTCCTGCCAGGAATTTATCTGGAGCACCACATCTCCAACTCCATCACCTCCCAGAGTGGTGAAATCCCTTAGAACACCCCAAAACCCCACCCAGGGAGGTTCTCCCACCAGGAACAAGGCCCCGAGTGCTGCATTGGTGATTCCACCACCTCTCAGAAGGGTGAAATCCCCTAAAATGCCCCCAAATCCCCTAAAACCCCCCAAATCCCACCCCCTGGAGGTTCTCCCACCAGGAACGAGGCCCCAAGCGGTGCATTGGTGACTCCACCACCCCTCAGAGCCTTGAAATCCCCAAAAACCTCCTAAAACACCCCCAAACCCCCTAAAACACACCCAAATCCCAACTGAGGGAGGTTCTCCCACCATGAACAAGGCCCCAAGCACTCCGTTGGTGACTCCATCACCCCTCAGAGGGGTGAAATCCCCTAAAACCCCTAAAACCCCCCAAATCCCCTAAAACCCCCCAAATCCCCACTGAGGGAGGTTCTCCCACCAGGAACGAGGCCCCAAACACTCCATTGGTGACTCCACCACCCCTCAGAAGGGTGAAATCCCCCCATCACCCCCCAAATCCCCCCAGGATCTCACTGTGGGCGGCCTGGCCGGCGGGCGCGTGCCGGCGTTGGCCGGCGTTGGCCACAGCTGTGGCGGCGCTGTCCTTGTCCCCGGCGCCGCTCTCCTGGCCCACCTCCACCACCTGCACCTGCGGGAGGGCCGTGCTCCACTTCAGCACGTACTTGGGGCCCAGGGGCACCAGGCTGCTGATTTCCAGCTGGCCTCTGCCAAGGCAAGAATTCCAGGTCAAGAAAACCCCATGGATTGTCCCAAAATCCATGGATTTTCCCAAGAAACTCCCCAAAAATATGTGTCCTGCAAGCCAAGCACTCCACACCATGCAGGAACCCCAGAATGTGGTTTTCCAGAACCTCTGATTTCCAACTGGCCTCTGATTTCCAGCTGGCCTCTACCAAGGCAAGAATTCCAAGTAAAAAGAAAACTGCCCGGATTTTCCCAAAATTCATGGATTTTCCCAAAAAAACCCCTCTGTTTTTTCTCCCCCAAAAAATATGTGTCCTGCCAGCCAAGCACCCCACACCATGCAGGAACCCCAGAATGTGGTTTTCCAGAACTTCTGATTTCCAACTGGCCTCTGATTTCCAGCTGGCCTCCACCAAGGCAAGAATTCCAAGTAAAATGAAAACTCCCCGGATTTTCCCAAAATTCATGGATTTTCCCAAAAAAACAAACATCTGTTTTTTCTGCCCCAAAAACTACGTGTCCTGCAAGCCAAGCACGCCACACCATGCAGGAATCCCAGAATGTGGGGCCGCTGATTTCCAGCTGGCCTCTGCCAAGGCAAGAATTCCAAGTCAAAAAAAACCCCTGGATTTTCCAAAAACCATGGATTTCCCCCCAGAAAAGGCATCCCACAGGCCGAGCACCCCACACTGTGCAGGAACCCCCAAACTTGGGGCACACGACACAGCACAGCACACACAGCACCTACCCTGCAGGCACTGGCCTGGAGAGGGGGAAAAGGAGGGATTCAGTGGGATTTTGGGAATTTTGTGAGGTTTTCCCACTTGGCGGCGTCAAATCCCGCCAATTCCACCCCATTCCCAAATCCCACAGCAGCTCTGAGACCCCACAGCAGCAGGGAGGGAGATGGGTCAAAGGCGGGCAGGTAAACCCCAAACTCTATGGGATTTCCCAAAAAACCCCAAACTCAATGGGATCCCCCCCCAAAAACCCAAACTCTATGGGATTCCCCCCAAAAACCCCAAACTGAATGGGATTCCCTCCAAAAAACTCAAACTGAATGGGAATTCTCCCAAAAAAAAAACCCAAACTCAATGGGAATTCTCCCAAAAAAACCAAACTCAATGGGATTCCCTCCAAAAACCCCAAACTCAATGGGATTCTCACCAAAAACCCTAGACTTGATGGGATTTCCCCCAGAACTCCAAACTGGGTAGGATCCACCTTAAAAACCCCAAACTCAATGGGATTCCCCTAAAAACCCCATATTTTATGGGATTCCCCCCAAAAGCCTCAAACCTGATGGGAACTCCCCTCAAAAACCCCAAACTCAATGGGGATCCCCCAGACACCCCAAATTCAATGGGATTCCCCCCAGAAATGAGGAGGAGGAGGAGGAGGAGGAGGAGGAGGAGGAGAAGGAGAAGGAGAAGGAGAAGGAGGAGAAGGAGAAGGAGAAGGAGAAGGAGGATGAGGAGAAGGAAGGAGGATGAGAAGGAGAAGGACGACGAGGAGAACAAGGATGAGGAGGAGGAAGGTGATGATGACAAGGAGGAAGAAGAGGATGAGGAGATCTCCCGAGGGTTCTGGGCTCAGGAGGTGCCCCGCACGTACTTGAAGTTGACGTTGGCGCAGACCAGGAGGTCGCTGAGCAGGAACACCTTCCTCTCCTTGGACTTGAGCAGCTGCCCGCGGTCCCCGTACACCGTCTCGGTCAGCGTCTCGCACAGCAGCAGCTGCCGCTGCCCCGAGCTCAGCAGCTGCAGGACAACCCCCACGTGGTCACTCCAGGATGGAGATGCCACCCTGGAGCAGCCAATCCCACCACAGAGTCGGAACCATCAATTCCCAGCATTGTTAAATAATAAAGCTTCTCCAAGAGGTCCCAAACGTCCTGCAGAACCTCCCAAAACCTTCTCCAGAATCTCCCGAAAAAGATCTCCAGAACCTCTGAAAAACCTTCTCAAGAACTTCTCTAAACCTTCTCCGCCACTCCCCAGAACTTCTCCAGAAGGTCCCCAACCTCCTCTAGAACCTCCCAAAACCTTTTCCAAAAGCTCCTGATCTCCTCCAAAATCTCCCCAATCCTTCAATCCCTCTCCAGATCCTCCCAAAAATTCAGAGCTTCCCAAAACCTTCTCCAGAACCTCCCAAAACCTTCTCCAAAAGCTCCCCATCTCCTCCAGAATCTCCCCAATCCTCCTCCAGATCCTCCCAAAAACCTTCTCCAGAGCTTCCCAAAGAACATCTCAAAATCCTACCAAAAACCTCCTCCAAAAGCTCCCGAACCTTCTTCAGAACCTCCCAAAAACCTTCTCCAGATCCTCCCAAACCTCCTTCAAAAGCTCCCCCAAACCTTTTTCAAAAGCTCCTAAACCTCCATCAGAACCTCCCAAAAACCTTCTCCAGAACCTGGAGACCCCACACATGGAGTGGGAGCTCCAAATCCAAACCCAGCAGATCCTTGGGGAGGAATCCCCGAATTCCACCCTCAAGGCTTGGTTTGGATCAAGATCCTCTGGGACCAAACAAGGACCCTGCTTCCCTAAATTCCCAATGTGGGGAGGGAGTCACAAATCCCACCCAGCAGCTCCAAATCCTGCTGAGGATGAGGATGAGGATGAGGATGGGGTGCAGGAGGTAGAGGATGAGGAAGAGGAGGAAGAGGAGGAAGAGGAGGAAGAGGAGGAAGAGGAGGAAGAGGAGGAGGATGAGGAGGATGAGGAGGAGGATGAGGAAGAGGATGAGGAGGATGAGGAGAAGGTGGAGGATGAGGAGGACAAGGAGAAGGTGGAGAATGAGGAGGAGGAGGTGGAGGACAAGGAGGATGAGGAGGAGGTGGAAGATGAGGAGGCTGAGGAGGATGAGGATGAGGAGAATGAAGAGGATGAGGAGGATGAGAAGGCTGAGGATGAGGGTGAGGAGGAGGATGAGAAGGATGAAGAAAAGGAGGATGAGGAAGATAAGGTGAGGACAAGGAGGACAAGGAGAATGAGGACAAGGAGGACAAGGATGTGAGTGAGGAGGAAGATGAAGAGGATGAAGAAAATGAGGTGAAGACAAGGAGGACAAGGAGAATGAGGACAAGGACGAGGAGGATGATGAGGACGAGGAGGACAAGGAGAATGAGGACAAGGATGAGGATGAAGATGAAGGTGACGAGGAGCCCCCACCTTGTTGAAGCTGCTGCGGTCGCTGATGCTCTTGCTGAGCTGCTGCATCTCGGCCACCTGGTCGGCCAAGCGCTTCTGCTCGTTGAGCTTCTCGGCCAGCGTCTCCAGCTCGGTCAGGGCCAGCTGCAGGGACAGGCGGTCGGCGTGGCCACGCGGGGTGTTCTTCAGCATGTCCTGGGACACGGAAACACCGGGAATGGCCCTGAGGAACCGCCACGGCAACGCCGATGGAGCCTCCAACACCGGGGTTTGGAGGGTGATCCTTGGGTGGATCCAAAAATCCAACCTGGGTGCCCACTCCCAAGTGTGTCTCTGTCATGCAGCCCCCAAAAGGGTGCTTCTCCAGAAGCTCCCAAAAACCTTCTCTGGAACCTCCCCAGTCCTTCTCCAGAACCTCCTAAAAACCTTCTCCAGAAATCTCTGCAACCTTGCCCAAAACCTCTCTAAAACCTCCAGAACCTCCTCAAAACCTTCTCTGGAACCCCCCCCAGTCCTTGTCTAGAACCTCCTCAAAACCTCTCCAGAACCTCCTAAAAATCTTCTCCAGAATCTCGCATCTTTGCCCAAAACCTTCTCCAGAACCTCTCAAAAACCTGCTCCAAAAGCTCCCCAAAATCTTCTCCAAAAGTTCCCCAGGACCTTCTCCAGAACCTCCCTTCTCTCACCTGCAGGAAAAGGATGCGCTGAGGGAATTGGGAGCACTTTGGGCACCTCCAAATTGGAAGTTTAGGAGATGATCCTTAGGATAGATCCAAAAAATAAAAAAAAACTGGCCCTGTCCTGCAGCACCCAAAAACCTGCTTCTCCAGAACCTCCCTAAAACCTTCTCCAGAACCTCCAAAAAACCTTTTCCAGAATCTCGCATCTTTGCCCAAAACCTCTCCAAAACCTTCTCCAGAACCTCCCAAAAACCTTCTCCAGAACCTTCAAAAAAATCTCCAAAAGCTCCCCAAAATCTTCTCCAAAAGTTCCCCAGAATCTTCTCCAAAAGAATATCCAAAAGAATTCCCAAAAGTTACCCAAGACCTGCTCCAGAACCTCCCCAAAGTCCTCCAGAACCTCCCTTCTCTCACCTGCAGGAAAAGGACGAACTGAGGGAATTGGGAGCACTTTGGGCACCTCCAAATTCAAAGCTTAGGAGATGATCTTGGTATAGATCAAAAAATTTTAAAAAATCAAAAAAATCCAAAAAATCAAATAAAAATGGCCCTGTCCTGCAGCACCCAAAAAGCTGCTTCTCCAGAACCTCCTCAAAACCTTATCTGGAACCTCCCCAGTCCTTGTCCAGAACCTCCTCAAAACCTTCACCAGAAATTCCAAAAAACCTTCTCTAGAATCTCCGTAACCTTGCCCAAAACATTCTCCAGAACCTCTAAAAAACCTTCTCCAGAACCTCCCAAAATCGTCTCCAAAAGTTCCCCAAGACCTTCCCCAGAACCTCCCCAAAGTCCTCCAGAACCTCCCTTCTCTAACCTGCAAAAAAAGGATGGACCGAGGGAATTGGGAGCACTTTGGACACTCCAAATTCAAAGCTTGGGAGATGATCCTTGAGATGGATCAAAAAATTTTTAAAAATCAAAAAAATCCAAAAAATAAAAAAAAAGGCCCTGTCCTGCAGCACCCAAAAAGCTGCTTCTCCAGAACCTCCTCAAAACCTTCTCCAGAACCTCCTCAAAACCTTCTCTGGAACCTCCCCAGTCCTTGTCCAGAACCTCCTCAAAACCTTCACCAGAAATTCTAAAAAACCTCTAGAATCTCTGCAACCTTGCCCAAAACATTCTCCAGAACCTCCAAAATACCTTCTCCAGAACCTCCCAAAATCTTCTCCAAAAGTTCCCCAAGACCTTCCCCAGAACCTCCCCAAAGTCCTCCAGAACCTCCCTTCTCTCACCTGCAGGAAAAGGATGGACTGAGGGAATTGGGAGCACTTTGGGCACCTCCAAATTCAAAGCTTAGGAGATGATCCTTGGGATGGATCCAAAAATAAAAAAAATCAAAAAAATACAAAAAGACTGGCCCTGCCCTGCAGCACCCAAAAAGCTGCTTCTCCAGAACCTCCCTAAAACCTTCTCCAGAACCTCCAAAAACCCTCTCTGGAATCTCTGCAACCTTGCCCAAAACCTCTCCAAAATCTTCTCCAGAACATCTCAAAAACCTCCTCCAAAAGCTTCCCAAAACCTTCTCCAGAACCTCCTCAAAAACCTTCTCCAGAACCTCCAAAAAACCTTTTCCAGAATCTCGCTTCTTTGCCCAAAACCTTCTCCAGAACCTCTCAAAAACCTCCTCCAAAAGCTCACCAAAACCTTCTCCAGAACCTCCAAAAAAACTCCTCTGGAACCTTCCAAAAAAATCTTCTCCAAAAGTTCCCTAAAACCTTCTCCAGAACCTCCCAAAACACGTTCTCCAGAACCTTCCAAAAAACCTTCTCCAAAAGCTCCCCAAAGTCTTCTCCAAAAGTTCCCCAAGACCTTCTCCAAAAGCTCACCAATCAAAGTCCTCCAGAACCTCCCTTCTCTCACCTGCAGGAAAAGGATGGACTGAGGGAATTGGGAGCACTTTGGACACCTCCAAATTGAAAGCTTAGGAGATGATCCTTGGGATGGATCCAAAAAATCTGGCCTTCTCCTGCAGCACCCAAAAAGCTGCTTCTCCAGAACCTCCCTAAAAACTTCTCCAAAAGCTCCTAAACGTCCTCTAGAACCTCCCTGATGTCTTCCAGAACCTCTCACCCGTCTCACCTGCAGGAGGAGGATGAACTGAGGGAACCTCTGGATGGGCTTCACCATCAGCCCGTAGAGCGTGACACGATCAGCGCTGGCCATCTGCCGCTTCTGCCGGGGGAAAATGCCACAAAAACGGGAATTTTAGGGAAAATGCCATGAAAAGGAGATTTTTGGGAAAAGCGGAGCCGCGGAGGGACCACGCTGACCTTGAGGAAGTCCAGGAAGGCGGGTTTGGTCAGACAGGCCTTCTTGATCAGGGACATGGCCGTGGTGAAGTTGTTGACGTAGTCGCTGTAGACGTCCAGCACCATGGACTTGGAGAACTGGGAGAGGACGAGAGTGTGGGAATGGCATGGGGTTTCCCAAAAAACAGGGTGGGATTCCCAAAAAGCGAGGTGGGCAAGGTGCTGGGGGTGTCCCACCCCTCCAGTCCTCCATCCATCCCTGGTGGGACCCCAAGGGATGTCTGGGGCTGATTCCTGGTTTTCCTTCCTACTGAGGTCGCAAGTCCGGCACCATGGACTTGGAGAACTGGGAGAGGACGAGAGTGCGGGAATGGCATGGGGCTTCCCAAAAATGGCATGGGGCTTCCCAAAAATGGGGTGGGACTCCCAAAAAATGGAGTGGGCAAGGTTCTGGGGGTGTCCCACCACTCCAGTCCTCCACCCATCCCTGGTGGGATCCCAAGGGATGTTCAGGGCTGATTCCTGGTTTTCCTTCCTACTGAGGTCACAAGTCTGGCACCATGGACTTGGAGAACTGGGAGAGCACGGGACACTGGGAATGAGGTGGGGATTCCCATAAAATGGGGTGCTGGGGGCATCCCAATTTGGGCTCCATCACTCTACTCATCCCTGGTGGGATCCCAGGGGATTTTGGGGGTGATTCACGACTGATGAGATGCCAGGGGGATTTTGGGGGGCAATTCCCAGTTTTTGATAGGACCCCAGAGGGATTTGGGGCCATTCCTGGTTTTGGCTGGGACCCCAGCAGAGACTGGGGCCACTCTTGGTTTTTGCTAGGGCGCCAACAGGATTTGGGGCCATTTCTGGTGTTTGCTGGGATCCCAGCAGGATTTGAGACCATTCCTGGTTTTTGCTGGGACCCCAGTGGGATTTGGGGCCATTCCCAGCTTTTGCTGTGATCCCAGCAGGATTTGGGGCCATTCTTGGTTTTTGCTGGGACCTCAACAGGATCTGGGGCAATTCCTGGTGTTTGCTGGGACCCCAGCAGGGACTGGGACATTCCTGGCTTTTGCTGGGACCCCAGTGGGATCTGGAGCCGTTCCCAGTTTTTGCTGGGATCCCCATGGGATTTGGGGCCATTCCCAGTGTTTACTAGGTCCCCAACAGGATTTGGGACCATTCCTGGTTTCTACTGGGATCTCAGCAGGATTTAGGGTCATTCCTGGTGTTTGCTGTGATCCCAGCAGGATTTGGGGCCATTCCTGGTTTCTACTGGGACCCCAATAGGATTTGGGGCCATTCCTGTGTTTGCTGGGACTCCAGCAGGATTTGGGGCCATTCCCGCTCTTTGACAGGATCCCAGCAGAATTTGGGGCCATTCCTGTTTTTTCCTGTGACCCCAGCAGGATTTGGGGCCGTTGTTCCCGTTTCCCCCGCACGCACCGAGGCCACGAAGAGGTCGCCGATCTTCTCGTTGGAGTCCCACTCGGCCACGCGCGAGGCCAGGGCGATCTGGAACATGGAGTGGCACTGCAGGATCTCCTTCAGCCGGAAGAACACCAGCTGGCACTTGCGGGCGCTCAGCACCTTGGGCTCCATCTCCAGCAGCGGGTTCCGGTAATCCTGCGGGAATCGCGGCGCTGGGATCGCGGGATCGGCGCCGGGGGGTCCCCGTCCCGCCCCGGCCCGGCCCCACCTGCAGGATGCGCTTCAGGGAGTCCACGTAGCTGCGCTCGCTCTGCACGATGGAGCCCAGGATGTGCCGCCGGAGCACCTGCGGGGCACGGGAATGGGGCCTGATCCCAAAATCCACAATCATGGGGCCGGGGAAAGGCCCTGACCCCAAAATCCCCCATCATGGGACTGGGGAAAGGCCCTGATCCCAAAATTCCCAATCCTGGGACTGGGGAAATGCAAGAACAGCCCTGATCTGACAATCCCCAATCTTGGCATAAGGGAAATGTAGGAATAGCCCTGAACCCAAAATCCCCAATCCCAGGACCGGGAAAAGGCCCTGATCCCAAAATCCCCAATCAAGGGATCAGGGCGTTTCCCCAGTCCTAGGATTGGGGATTTTGGGCCTGATCCCAAAATCCCTAATTCCAGAATAGGGGAAAGGCAGGCACAGCCCTGATCCCAAAATCCTTAATCCTGGGACCAGGGAAAGGCAGGAACAGCCCTCATCCCAAGATCCCCAATCCTGGGACTGGGGAAGTGCAGGAACAGCCATAATCCCCAAAATCCCCAATCCTGCAATCAGGGAAATGTAAAAACAGCCATAATCCCAAAATCCCCAATCCCACGATCAGGAAAATGAAGGCACAGCCCTGATCCCAAAATCCCCAATCTTGGGACTGGGGAAATGCAAGAACAGCCCTGATCTGACAATCCCCAATCTTGGAATAGGGGAAGTGCAGGAACAGCCCTGATCCCAAAAACCCCAATCCCAGGACCAGGGAAATGCAGGCACAGCCCTGATCACAAAATCCCCAATCCCAGGATCAAGAAAGACAGGCACAGCCCTGATCCCAGAGTCCTGAATTCTGGGATCAGGGAAAGGCAGGATCAGCCCTGATCCCACAATCCCCAATCCCGGGATTGGGGAAATGCAGGAACAGCCATAATCCCAAAATCCCCAATGCTGGAATATGGGAAATGGAGGAACAGCCCTGACCCCAAAATCCCCAATCCCGGGACCAAGGAAATGCAGGCACAGCCCTGATCCCAGAGTCCCAAATCCCAGGATCAGGGAAATGCAGGCACAGCCGTGATTCCCAAATCCCAGGAGAGGGGAAAGGCAGGCCCAGCCTGTGGGGCTCAGCCGTGGTCCCCCAGCCCCGAATCCCAGGAAAAGGGAAGCAGCCCCGGCCCTGCGGAAGCGCTGACCCAGCAGCGCCGTTCCTGCTGACTCGGCATTTCCCTGTTGCTCAATCACGGGGCCCGGGGGACGCTGTGACCCCCCCAGAGCCCGGGAAAGCCCCAGTCCCAGGAGATCCCGGGAAAGGCCCAGTCCCCAGAGATCCTGGGAAAGCCCTGATCCTAGGAGATCCCAGGAAAGCGCCAATCCCAGGAGATACCAGGAAAGCCCTGATCCCAGGAAAGCCGTGATCCCAATCCCAGGAAATGCTGGGAAAGCCCTGATCCCTATCCTAGGAAAGCCCCAATCCTAGATCCCAGGGAAACCCTGATCTCAGGAAAGCCGTGATCCCAATCCCAGGAAAGCCCAGATCCTGGGAAATCCCCAATCCCAGATCCCAGGAAAGCCCCGATCCCAGGAAAGCCCCGATCCCACGAAAGCCCCGACCCCAATCCCAGGAAAGCCCCGACCCCAGGAAAGACCCGATCCCAGATATCCCTGATCCCAGGAAAGCCCCAATCTCAGGAAAGCCCTGATCCCAACCCCAAGAAAGCCCCAATCCCAGGAAAGTCTTGATCCCAGATCCTGGGAAAGCCCCGGTCCCAGGAAAGCCGTGATCCCAAATCCCAGAAAAGCCCCGATCCCGGGAAAGCCCCGATCCCGGGAAAGCCCCGCTCCCAGTGGATGCCGGACCTGCTGCGGGCTCAGCCCCTCGGGCGCGGGGCCCAGCTCGGGCGGGGGGTGCCTCATGTCGGACACGGTGACCTCCAGGAAGCCGGTGTCCTCCTCCTCCGAGTCCCCTGCGGCACGGGGACACCAAAAAACCCCAAACTGACCCAAACTGAGCCCAAACTGAGCCCAAAATGACCCCAACTGAGCCTTCCAGGGCTGGAGGCACAGCCCGCTCCTCCCGGTATTCCCGGTATTCCACAGCTGGACACCGGGATGAGCTGGGCAGGAGCGGGGATGGGACCAGGAGGGGACAGGGAGGGTCCCCATCCCAAAAATCCGCCTGGGAACAGCGTCTCATCCTTGCTCCAAGACAGCGGGAAACGGGAAAAGGAGCCGGGAAAAGGAGTCAGGAAAAGTGGGAAGTGCCAGAGTGGGGACCAGGACAGTGCCATGGGGAGGGGACAGGGAGGGTCCCTATCCCAAAAATCCGCCCGGGAACAGCGGGAACAGCGTCTCATCCTCGCTCCGAGACAGCGGGAAACGGGACAAGGAGCCAGGGAAAGGAGTCAGGAAAAGAAGCCGGGAAAAGGAGCCGGGAGCCCAGGAAAAGTGGGAAGTGCCGGAGTGGGGACCAGGACAGCGCCACGGGGAGGGGACATGGAGGGTCCCCATCCCAAAAATCCGAGCGGGAACAGCGTCTCATCCTCGCTCTGAAATACCGGGAAACGGGAAAAGGAGCCGGGAAAAGGGATCGGGAAAAGGAGCCGGAAGCTCAGAAAAAGTGGGAAGTGCCGGAGTGGGGACCAGGACAGCGCCACGGGGAGGGGACATGGAGGGTCCCCATCCCAAAAATCCGCCCGGAAGCAGCGGGAACAGCGCCTCGTCCTCGCTCCGAGACACCGGGCACCGGGACAAGGAGCCGGGAGCGCAGGAAAAGCGGGACGCGCCGGAGAGGGCAGCCCTTACCCGAGGCCGAAGCAGCCGAGGAGGAGGAGGGCGAGCGAGCCAGGGAAAGCTCGGGATGAGCCAAGGAAAACGCGGGAAGGGAGCGCGGCCGTCGCCTCCACATGGCCCCGGCCCCATCCCGGGCCAGAAATCCCGGGAAGGGGAAGGGCTGGGGGGAGAGGAGGAGGAAGGGAAGGGAGGAAGGGAGGGAGGGAAGGGAAGGGCTGCGGGGACCTTTTTCCTTCCCTAATTTCGGCTCCTCCTCCCCGGGGATGCTCTCCCGGGATTGCCGCGCCCCAAAGCCGCGCTGGCCATGCGGGAACGGCGGAGCGGATCCCATGGGAACGGCGGGACTGATCCCATGGGAAGCTGCGGGAACAGCGGGACACACAGAGCCAATCCCATCCCATGGGAAGCTGCAGCAAAGCCGGGAACACACAGCCAATCCCATGGGAACGGCGGGACACACACAGCCAATCCCATGGGAATGCTCCGGGAATGTGCGGAACACACAGTTGACCCCATGGGAATGCTGGCACACACACATTTCCCATGGGAATGCTCTGGGAATGCCGGGAACACACAGCGGATCCCATGGAAAGCTGCAGAAATGCCGGGAACACACAGAGCAGATCACATGGGAATGCCAGGAACCACAGCTGATCCCATAGGAAAGCTGGGAATGCACACAGCTGATCCCATGGGAATGCTCTGGAAATGCCAGGAACATGCAGCTGATCCCACAGGAAAGCCGGGAACCACAGCTGATCCCATGGGAATGCCAGGAACACACAACAGATCCCATGGGAATGGTCTGGGAATGCCAGGAACACGCAGCTGATCCCACGGGAGTGCCGGGAACACACACAGAGCTCATCCCATGGAAATCTGCAGAAATGCCGGGAACACACAGAGCCGATCCCATGGGAATGCTCTGGGAATGCCAGGAACATGCAGCTGATCCCATGGGAATGCCAGGACACACACATTTCCCATGGGAATGCTCTGGGAATGCCAGGAACACGCAGCTGATCCCATGGGAAAGCCGGGAACATACAGCAGATCCCATGGAAAGCTGCAGAAATGCTGGGAACACACACAGCTGATCCCATGGGAATGCTCTGGGAATGCCAAGAACACACAATGGTTCCCATGGGAGTGCCGGGAATACACACAGCAGATCCCATGGAAATGCTGGGAACACACAAAGCCAATGCCACGGGAATGCTCTGGGAATGCCAGGAACACACAGCAGATCCCATGGAAAGCTGAAATGCCAGGAACCACAGCCAATCCCACAGGAAAGCCGGGAACACACAGCCAATTCCATGGGAATGCTCTGGGAATGCCAGGAACCACAGCTGATTCCATGGGAATGCCGGGAACACACAGAGCTCATCCCATGGAAATGCTCTGGGAATGCCGGGAACCACAGCTGATCCCATGGGAATGCCGGGGCACACACACACTTCCCATGGGAATGCTCTGGGAATGCCAGAACACACAGCTGATCCCATGGGAATGCTGGGAACCACAGCTGATCCCATGGGAATGCCGGGAACACACACAGCTAATCCCATGGAAATCTGCAGAAATGCCAGGAAGACACAGAGCGGATCCCATGGGAATGCTCTGGGAATGCCAGGAACACGCAGCTGATCCCGTGGGAAAGCCGGGAACCACAGCTGATCCCATGGAAAGCTGCAGAAATGCCGGGAACACACAGAGCCGATCCCATGGGAATGCCGGGAACACACAGCCAATCCCATAGTAATGCTCTGGGAATGCCAGGAACATGCAGACAATTCCATGGAAAGCTGCAGAAATGCCGGGAACACACAGCGGATCCCTCAGGAATGCCCTGGGAATGCCGGGAACACGCAGCTGATCCCATGGAAATGCCGGGAACACACAGAGCCGATCCCATGGGAATGCCGGGAAGCACAGCCGATCCTATGGGAATGCCGGGACACACACATTTCCCACGGGAATGCTCTGGGAAAGCCGGGAACACACGCGGCCGATCCCCCGGGCAGCTCCAGGCGCTGGGATCCAGCGGGATCGATCCTACCTCCCCTGGATCCTACCTGCCCCGGGCTGCTCCAGGGAAACCCGGGAGCTCCGGCGGGAGCGCGGCGGCTTCTCCGCCTCGGCCGCGCTCCTCCTGCGCTCCCCGTCCCCTGCGGCACAGGGAAAGGGCCCGGAATTGGGAATTCAAGGAAAAAATCCTGAGGGGAAAACCCAAGGAAAACCTCCTGGGAACTGGGAGTTCAGGGGAAAAATCCTGAGGGAAAAATCCAAGAAAAACCCAGAGGAATTGGGAGTTCAGGGGGAAAATCCTGAGGGAAAAATCCAGTGAAAACCTCCGGGGAATTGGGAATTCAGGGGAAAAGTTCCTGAAGGGAAAAAATCCTGAAGGAAAAATCCACAGGAAAGGCCCTGGGAATTGGGAATTCAGCAAAAGAAATCCTGAGGGAAAACTCCAAGAAAAAACCCTGAGGAAGTGGGAATTCAGGGGGGAAAAAGTCCTGAAGGAAAAATCCACAGGAAACCCTGTGGGAATTGGGAATTCAGGGAAAAAAATGCTGAAAGAAAAATCCACGGGAAAGCTCCTGGGAATTGGGAATTCGGGGGGAAAATCCTAAGGGAAAAACCCAAGAAAAAACCCCAAGGAACTGGGAATTCAGGAAAATAATTCTTAAGGAAAAATCCACAGGAAAGGCCCTGGGAATCGGGAATTCAGGGAAAGAAATCCCGAAGAAAAGTCCAAGGAGGAATCCCTGAGGAATTGGGAATTCAGGGGGAAAAATCTTGAAAGAAAATTCATGGGAAACCCTGTGGGAATTGGGAATTCAGGGAAAGAAATCCTGGAGGGACAAAACCCTGAAGGAAAAACGCAAGGACAGGCCGGGCACTGCCGGTTTATCCCTGAGGATAAAAGGAGGGAGGAGGAGCCTGCAGAGATCCCGGGAAGCTCCAGATCCATGGAAAGAGGCGGGAGAAGGGGAAGGAGGTTCTGGAGGGATGGGGTTCCCGGTTCCATAGGGATGGGATCCCCTGGTTCTGTGGGGATGGGATCCCTAGGATTCTGGAGGGATGGGATCCCCGGTTCCAGAGGAGTGAGGTTCCTGGGTTTCTGTAGGGATGGGATACTCAGTTCCATGGGGATGGGATCTCTGGGGTTCCCTGGGGATGGGATCCCCTGGTTCTGTGGGGGTGGGATCCCTAGGATTCCAGAGGAATGGGATTCCTGGGGTTCTGTAGGGATGGAATTCCCTGGGGATGGGGTCCCTGGGGTTCCCTGGGGATGGGATCCCTGGTTCCAGAGGAATGGGATTCCTGGGGTTCTGTAGGGATGGGATCCCCAGTTCCATGGGAATGGGACCCCTGGTTCCATAGAGATGGGATCCCTGGGGTCCAAAAGGATGGGATTCCCTGCTTCCAGAGGGATGGGATTCTCTGGGGATGGGATCCCAGAGGTTCTGGAGGGATGGGATTCCCTGGGGATGGGATCCCTGGGGTTCCATGGGGCTGGGGTTCCCAGAGTCTCCCTGGGGATGGGGTTCTGGAGGGATAGAGTTCCTAGTTCCATAGGGATGGGGTTCCTTGGGGATGAGATCCCTGGTTCCATAGAGATGGGATCACTGGGGTCCATAAGGATGGGACTCCCTGGTTCCAGAGGGATGGGATTCCCTGGGGATGGGACCCCAGAGGTTCCCTGGGGATGTGATTCCCGGGGTTCCCTGGTGATAGGGTTCCTTGGGGATGGGATCCTGGGGTTCCCTGGGGATGGAATTCCCTAGGGATGGGATCCCCAGGGTTCCCTGAGGATAGGGTTCCCTGGGGATGAGATCCCCAGAGGTTCCCTGGAGATGGGATTCCAGAGGTTCTGGGGGGATGGGATTCTTTGGGGATGGGATCCCCAGCGTTCCCTAGGGATGGGTGGGGTCCCTGGGAATGGGATCCCTGGGGTTCTATGGGGATGGGGTTCCTGGGGTTCCCTGGAGATGGGATTCCCTGGGGATGGGGTCCCAGAGGTTCCAGAGGGATGGAATTTCCTGGGGACGGGATCCTGGAGGTTCCCTAGGGATGGATGGGTTCCCTGGGGATGGAATTCCCTAGGGATGGGATCCCAGAGATTCCCTGGGGACGGGATCCCTGGGGTTCCCTGGGATGGAATTCCCTGGGGATGGGATCCCCTGGGGATGGGATTCCCTAGGGACGGGATGCCCAGTGCGGGTTCCCGGTGCTCACCGGCGCCGTCGCGGCGCTGCAGGAAGGTGACCCTGCGCAGCACCGCCATGCGCGTGCGCTCCAGCCCGTCCTTGGTGCCGCTGCGCGCCGCCCGCATCAGCTGGGACACCTGCAACGGAACGGGATCAGGGATCAGCTCGGGGATCAGCTCGGGGGCCATCACTGGGATCACTAGGATCATCACAGGGATCACAGGGGTCACCAGGATCACTGGGACCATCACTGCAGGGATCATCAAAGGGATCAGCTCAGGGATCAGCGGGATCATCACTGGGATCACAGAGATCACCAGGATCTCGGGGATCAGCAGGATCATCACAGGGATCATGAGGATTACAGGGATCAGAGGGATCATCATTGGGATCACAGGGATCAGCAGGGTCATCGCTGGGATCACAGGGACCACCAGGATCACAGGGATCATCACCGAGATCACTGGGATCACAGGGATTAACAGGATCACCAGGATCATCGCTGGGATTACAGGTGTCACCGGGATCTCAGGGATCTCAGGGATCACAAGGATCAACGGGATCATCACTGGGATCAGCAGGATCACAGGGATCATCACCAGGATCACTGGGACTCACTCCAGGGGTCACCAGGATCACAGGGGTCACTGGGATCTCAGGGATCACAGGGATCAGCAGGATGACCACCGGGATTGCAGGGATCACAGGGATCACAGGGATCACAGGGATCACAAGCTTCAGCAGGATCATCACTGGGATCACAGGGATCAGCAGGATCACTGGGATTGCAGGGATCCCCAGGATCACAGGGGTCACTGGGATCACAGGGATCAGCAGGATGACCACTGGGATCACAGGGATCAGCAGGATCACAGGGATCATCACTGGGATTTCAGGGATCCCCAGGATCACGGGGGTCACTGGGATCACAGGGATCAGCAGGATGATCACTGGGATCGCAGGGATCATCACCGGAATCACTGGGGTTGCAGGGATCACAGGGATCTCAGGGATCACAAGCTTCAGCAGGATCATCACTGGGATCACGGGGATCAGCAGGATCACAGGGATCATCACTGGGATTGCAGGGATCCCCAGGATCACGGGGGTCACTGGGATCTCAGGAATCAGCAGGATGATCACTGGGATCACAGGGATCATCACCAGGATTGCAGGGGTCACAGGGATCATCAGGATAACAGGGATAGGATAAGACCAGTGGGATCACAGGGATAACAGGAATAACAGGGATCACAGGCATAACAAGGAAAACAGGGATCACTGGGATCATCACCGGGATCACAGGGATCATCACCTGGATCACAGGGATCATCACCGGGATCACAGGGATCATCACCTGGATCATAGGGATCATCACCGGGATCACAGGGATCATCACCTGGATCACAGGGATCATCACCAGGATCATAGGGATCATCACCGGGATCACAGGGATCATCACCTGGATCATAGGGATCATCACCTGGATCACAGGGATCATCACCAGGATCACAGGGATCAGCACAGGGATCTCAGGGATCAGCAAGGATCCCTCCTGGATCCAGCCCCTCAGGAAGATCCCTGGAGCGCCATTCCCTGTTTTCCCAGACGGGAGCAGCAGGCACAGGGCCGGGGCTCCGGGATCCCCCCTGGATCCCCTCCGGATCCCCCCAGATCCCCTGGGATCCCCCCATGGATGGCAGCAGCCGGAGCTGTGGGGTCGTGCAGCGCAGCCAAGCGGGGCCGGGCAGGGATGCGGGGGCGGCTCCGGCCCTTCCTGTGCCAGGATGGGATGTGTGGGGCAGGGAAAGGGGGATCGGCCCTTCCCACCCCAAATCCTGGGGGTTTACCCCAAAGCTGAGAGTTCTACCCCAAGTCCCGGCATTTCTACTCCAAATCCAAGAGTTTCACCCCGAATCCAAGGGTTCTACCCCAAATCTCAGCATTTCTACCCCAAATTCCAATGTTGTATCCCAAATCTGACAGTTCTACCCCAAATCTCAGCATTTCTACCCCAAATTCCAATGTTGTATCCCAAATCTGACAGTTCTACCCCAAATCTCAGCATTTCTACCCCAAATTCCAATGTTGTACCCCAAATCTGACAGTCCTACCCCAAATCTCAGAATTTCTACCCCAAATTCCAATGTTGTACCCCCAAATCTGATAGTTCTACACTAAACCCCAATGTTGTACCTCAAATCTGACAGTTCTACCCCAAATCCCAGCAGTTCTAACCCACGGAATACCAGCTGGGATGGGATGGGCTGGGAAAGGCTCTGCCCTGAGGTTCCACAATTCCCAAAATTCTCATTCCTGAATTCCTTCCTGAATTTCTTCCTGAATTCCTTCCCTTGTAAATTCGTTCAGGAATTCTCTTCCCAAATTCCTGAACTCATCACTTTCTTCCTGAATTCCTTCCCAAATTCCCGAATTCCTGAACTCATAAATTTCTTCCTGAACTCCTTCCCAAATTCCTTCCGAAACCCCTGAACTCATCATTTTCTTCCTGAATTCCTTCCTGAATTTGTTTCCAAATTCCTGAATTCTTTCCTGAATTCCTGAACTCATGATTTTCCTCCTGAATTCTTGAATTCCTTACTGAATTCCTGAACTCATCATTTTCTTCCTGAATTCCTCCCCAAATTCCTGAACTCATTATTTTCTTTCTGAATTCCTTCGTGAATTCCTGAATTCTTTCCCGAATTCCTGAATTCCTGAAGTCCTTCCTGAATTCCTTCCCAAACTCCTGAACGCATTATTTTCTTCCTGAATTCCTTCCTGAATTCTTTCCTGAATTCCTGAATTCGTTTCCAAATTCCTGAATTCCTTCCCGAATTCCTGAACTCATGATTTTCTTCCCGAATTCCTGAATTCCTTCCCGAATTCCTGAACTCAGGAGTTTCTTCCTGAACTCCTTCCCAAATTCCTGAACTCATCATTTTCTTCCTAAATTCCTTCCTGAATTCTTTCCTGAATTCCTGAGCTCTTTCCCGAATTCCTGAACTCCTGATTTTCTTTTTGAATTTCTTCCTGAACTCCTTCCCAAATTCCTGAACTCATTATTTTCTTCCTGAACCCCCGAATCCCAGAATTCCAATGTCTTGGGAAGCCCCAGCAGCTCCAGGCTGATTTTCTGGGCCAGGAATGGGATGGGCCCAGCCTGGATCCATTCCACGAGGGAATTTCATCCCCCCCCAGGCCGTGGATTTTGGGGAATTTCGGGCTGCGGGACGGGGTCGGTACCTTCCAATCGGATTTGTGCTTCAGCTCCTGCATTTCCTTCCCCCCAACTCTCAGAGCCAGGAGCTCCCGCTTAGTCCTGGCGCATTTTTCCTTGAGTTTATGGAGGTCTGGAGAGAGCTGAGCCCAAAGCAAAGCGGGAGAGCGGCAGAGCAGAGATCCCAGGAAGCAGCAAAATGCAAAAAAACAGGAGAGATCATCCCAAAGGAGCAGGGAATGGAGGCAGCAGCACGGAATTCCGGCCGGGAGCAGCGGGGAAAGGCTCAGAAATGGGAGGAATCATCCCAAAAATCCTGAAATGCCAGCTGGGATGGAGCAGAGAATGCAGCAGGAGCAGGGAAAGGCTCAAAAACAGGAGGAATGACCCCAGAATTCCAGCTGGGATGGAGCAGGGAATGAAGCAGGAGCAGGGAAAGCAGCACAGAACAGGCAGCAGCATCCTGGAATTCCAGCTGGGATGGGGTAGGGAGTGCAGGAACAGCAGAGAAAGGTTCAAAAATGAAAGAAAAAATCGTGTCTGGGAGAGGGCAGGGAGAGCAGGAGCAGCAGGCAAAGGCTCAGAAATGGAAGGAATCATCCCAAAAATCCTGAAATGCCAGCTGGGATGGAGCAGAGAATGCAGCAGGAGCAGGGAAAGGCTCAAAAACAGAAGGAATGACCCCAGAATTCCAGCTGGGATGGAGCAGGGAATGAAGTAGGAGCAGGGAAAGGCAGAGAGAGGCTCAAAATCAGGAGAAATCACCCTGGAATTCCAGTTGGGATGGAGCAGGGAATGCAGGAACAGCAGGGAAAGGCTCAAAAACGGAAGAAATCATCCCAAAAATCCTGTTTGGGAGCAGGCAGGGAGGGCAGGAGCAGCGGGGAAAGGCTCAGAAATGGGAGGAATCATCCCAAAAATCCCATCTGGGGGCAAGCAGGGAAGGCAGAAGCAGGGAAAGACAGAGAGAGGATCAAAACCAGGAGGAATCATCCCAAAAATCCAGAAATTCCAGCTGGGATGGAGCAGAGAGTGCAGGAACAGCAGGGAAAGGCTCAAAAACAGGAGAAATGACCCCAGAATTCCAGCTGGGATGGAGCAGGGAATGCAGCAAGAGCAGGGAAAGGCTCAAAAATGATGGATGAGTGTTCCAAGGGCTGGATGAGTGTTCCAAAGGGATGGATGAAGATTTCAAAGGGATGGGTAACTATTCTAAGGGATGGATGAGTGTTCCAAAGGGATGGATGAGGGTACCAAGGGATGGATGAGGGTTCCAAGGGATGGATGAGGATTCCAAAGGGATGGATGAGGATTCTAAAGGGATGGATGAGGGTTCCATAGGGATGGACGAGGGTTCCACAGGGATGGGTACCTTGGGCTGGAACGCCGTGCGGAGCTTGGCCGGCTCCGCGTCCCGCCGGGATTCCGTCCGGGATTCCTCTCCGGACTCGCCCTCGCTGTAGCTCTCGAACTCGCTGGAGCTCCAGCCCAGGTCCTGCCCCAGGCGCGTCCCCTCCCCGCGCTGCACCTCGGCGTAGATCAGCCCCGCGCCTGCCGCGACCGCAATTCCCAATGCATTCCCATTCCATTCCATCCCCAATGCATTCCCAATGCATTCCCATTCCATTCCCAATGCATTCCCACTCCTAATGCATCCCCATTCCCAATGCATTCCCATTCCATTCCATTCCATTCCATTCCCAATGCATTCCCACTCCCACTCCATTCCCGTCCCCGCTCCATTCCCATCCCCACTCATGCTCCATCCCTGTTCCACTCCCACTCCATTCCCATTCCTGCTCCATTCCCACTCCATCCCCTTCCCCATTCCCATCCCCGCTCCATTCCCATCACCATTCATGCTCCATCCCTATTCCCGCTCCATTCCTGCTTCATTCCCATTCCATTCCCATTCCCATCCCTGCTCCATTCCCATCCCCATTCCATTCCTGCTCCATTCCCATCCCCATTCCCATCCCCATTCCATTCCTGCTCCATTCCCATCCCCATTCCCATCCCCACTCCATTCCCACCCCTGCTCCATTCCCACCCCTGCTCCATTCCCATCCCCATTCATGCTCCATCCCTATTCCCGCTCCATTGCTGCTCCATTCCCACTCCATCCCTGCTCCATTCCCATCCCTGCTCCATTCCTACTTCACTCCCACTCCCACTTTTCCTGCTCCATTCTCGCTCCATTCCCGCTTTTCCCTGTGCTCCCAAGCCATGGGAATTCTTGGCTTTGACTGTTTGGAAGGGAGTTGGGAGCACTCCGGGATGGATGGGAGAATCCAGGGGAAATTGATCCCTTGGGAGTGACGGGGATGAGGGGGGTAGAGGAAGGAAGGAGAGGAAGGAGGATTTTGGGAATTGGGGAATCCTAGTGCAGAACTCCAGAATTCCCATTCTCTGGAACCCTCAGGGTCCTGCAGCCCCATCCCTCCCAAATCCCGGGATTTCCCTGGTTATTCCCACCCACAGCCTCCTGGAGCATGGGACTCTCCTTCCTGACAGAAAAATGGGGATGGGAGCCCCTGGAAAACCGGGAAGAGGCAGATCCCGGCTGGAAAAGCAGGAAGAGCGTTCCCGTACCGTCCTGATCCACATCCAGGCCCTCGCAGGGAACGTCGTCGTAGATGACCTCGTCCTCCACCTCCGGGAAGGAGAAACGCTCCCCTGGGAACACCAGGATCGGGATTGGGATCGGGATCGGGACTGGGATCAGAATCAGCAGCCCAGGACCCCAATGGGGAGCAGAAACCCTCCCAAACCCACCAGGGGTTATCCCAAGGGTTAATCCCAGGGGTTTAATCCCAGGGATTATTGCGGGGGTTAATCCCAGGGGTTATCCCGGGGTTTAATCCCAGGCGTTTAATCCCAGGGGGTTTCATCGCAGGGTTATCCCAGCGGTTTAATCCCAGAGGTTATCCCAGGGTTTAATCCCAGGGGTTTCATCTCAGGGGTTTAATCCCAGGGGTTTAATTTAATCCCAAGGGTTAGTCCCAGCCTTTCCCCACCTCTGCAGATGCTCTCCCTCTTCCAGGTGCGGGTCCGGATCTGGGAATCTCCTCCGGCTTCGCCATTGCTCACCTGTGCCGGGATCCTGCGGGAGCATTCCAGGGAAAAATCCCTCAGGATTGAGGGCAAATCCCCCAGGATTGGGGGCTCCCAAAGCTCCCACCCGCTGCCACCCCCATTCCCACCACAGGAACAAAACAAGGAATTTTTTAAAGGAATTCCCCACCCCTCCCGTCTGCTCCTTGGGATCCCAGGATTTAAGGTCATCCCACGTTTTTAGGGATGTTCTGCCAACACACTCAGGGATGATGGAAAAGATCCCAAAATCCCGGAGTTCTCCTGCTAGGAGCTCTTGGAAATGCAGAGAAGTTGGGGGAAACTGAGGCTCAGCAGCAGCTGCGACACCAAACGGAGGGGACGGATCCCAAAGATCCATCACGGGACACAAAATCCCACCAGAAATCCTGGAATTCCCACCAAAACCTCCTGAAACCCACCAAAATCCCAGGAAACTCCCAGGAAATCCCAGGAAACTTCCCCAAATCCCAGCAGAACCCCCCAAATTCCCTGGAAATCCCACTAAATGCCCCAAATCCCACTCACCCTTCCTGGGTCTCCGGCTCCAGCCCTTCTGTGGGGAAGGAAAGCAAAGAGAAACAGTGTTGGCACCCTGGGGTGTACCGGGAATACCGGGAATGAGCAGGAATTCCACATGGGGATATCAGGGATGAGCAGGAATTCCCCATCAGGAATGAGCAGGAATTCCATACTGGCAACACTGGGAATTCCACACTGGGAATGAGCACAAATTCCATACTGGCAATACTGGGAACTCCCCACCAGGAATGAACAGAATTCCACATGGGAATACCAGGAACTCCATACCAGGAATAAGCAGGAATTCCATACTGGGAATGACCAGGAATTCCCCGCCTGGAATGAGCAGGAATTCCATACTGGCGATATTGGGAATTTGACCCTGGGAATGAACAGGAATTCCACATGGGAATACTGGGAATTCTGCACCGGGAATGAGTAGGAATTCCATACTGGCAATACTGGGAATTCCACACTGGGAATGAACAGGAATTCCACATGGGAATACTGGGAACTCCATACCAGGAATAAGCAGGAACTCCACACTGGGAATGACCAGGAATTCCATACTGGGAATTGCACACTGGGAGTGAGCAGGAATTCCATATTGGCAATACTGGAAATTCCCATACTGGCAATACTGGGAATTCCACACTGGGAATGACCAGGAATTCCACATAGGAATATCGGGAACTCCATACCAGGAATAAGCAGGAATTTCGTACTGGGAATGAGCAGGAATTCCACACCGGGAGCACTGAGAATTCTGCACCGGGAATGAACAGGAATTCCACAGGGGAATACTGGAAATTCCACACTGGGAATGAGGGGGAATTCCTCATGGGAATACCAGGAACTCCATACCAGGAATAAGCAGGAATTTCATACTGGGAATGAGCGGGAATTCCACACGGGGAATACTGGGAATGAACAGGAATTCCACATGGGAATACTGAGAATTCTGCACCAGGAATGAACAGGAATTCCACACTGGGAATACCAGGAATTAGGCACTGGGAATGAGCAGGAATTCCACAAGGGAATACTGGGAATTCCACACCGGGAATGAGCAGGAATTCCACACTGGGAATACTGGGAATTCCACATGGGAATGCCAGGAACTCCATGCCAGGAATAAACAGGAGTTTCATACTGGGAATGAGTGGGAATTCCACACTGGGAATACCGGGAATGAAGAGGAATTCCACAAGGAAATACTAGGAATTCCACACTCGGAATGAGGGGAAATTCCTCTGGGAGTACTGGGAATTCTGCACCAGGAATGAATAGGAATTCCACACTGGGAATACTGGGAATTCCACATGGGAATGCCAGGAACTCCATGCCAGGAATAAACAGGAGTTTCATACTGGGAATGAGTGGGAATTCCACACTGGGAATACCGGGAATGAAGAGGAATTCCACAAGGAAATACTAGGAATTCCACACTCGGAATGAGGGGAAATTCCTCTGGGAGTACTGGGAATTCTGCACCAGGAATGAATAGGAATTCCACACTGGGAATACTGGGAATTCCACACGGGGAATGAGCAGGAATTCCACAAGGGAATACTGGGAATTCCACACCAGGAATGAGCGGGAATTCCACACTGGGACTACCAGGAATGCTCCTCACCGCAGCTGGGCGGGCGCCGCCGGCGCGGGGGCGCCTGGAGAGCGACATCAGCACCGGGATCGGCTCCGGGATCAGCTCCGGGATCGACTCCGGGATCAGCTCCCGAATCCGAGTCCTCGTCCTCCCCTTCCTCCTCCTCCTCCTCCTCGCTGTCCTCGAAGTCGAAGGCCTGGCCCAGATCCTCCATCCCCGCAGGGCCGGGGGGATCCGGGGGAGATCCTGCGTGGGAATGGCATGGAAAACATGGAATGGGGCAAGGGAGAGCAGGAAACGGGAATGGGGAGGGATGGGGAAAGGGATGGAGGGAAAAAAGGGATGGAGGGAAAAAAAGGGATGGAGGGGAAAAAAGGGATGGAGGGGAAAAAAGGGAGGGAGGAAAAAAGGGATGGGGGAAAAATGAATGGATGGAAAAAAAGGGATGGATGGAAATAAGGGATGGAGAAAAAGAAGGGATGGAGGAATAAAGGGATGGATGGAAAAAAAGGGATGGAGGGAAAAAAGGGATGGAGGGAAAAAAGGGTTGGATGGAAAAAAGGGATGGAGAAAAAGAAGGGATGGAGAAAAAGAAGGGATGGAGAAAAAGAAGGGATGGAGGGAAAAAAGGGACGGAGGGAAAAAAAGGGATGGATGGAGGAAAAAAAGGATGGATGGAGGAAAAAAGGGATGGATGGAGGAAAAAAGGGATGGAGGAAAAAAGGGAATGGAGGGAAAAAAAGGGATGGATGGAGAAAAAGGGATGGAGAAAAAAGGGACAGAGATGGGAGATAGAAGGGAGATGGAGACAAAGGAGGGAGAAGGAGGATGCAGGAGATGGAGGAAATGGAAAAGGAGATGGAGGGAATGGAGGAGATGGAATAGAAGGGGGATGGAGATAAAGTGGGAGAGAGAAGGGGGATGGAGGTGGAGGAAGAGGAGGACGATGAAGGACAAGGGGAGGGAAGAGATAGAGGAGGGAGATGGAGGAAGAGGAGGGGGAAAAAAGGGATGGAGGAGGAGAATGGGGATGGAGAAAACCAGGGAAGAGGGATGGAAATGGACGATGGAAAAGGGGATGGAGGAGAGGGAAGAGGAAGGGGGATGGAGGAGGAAAAGGGGATGGAGGAGGAGATGAAGGGAAAGGGGGATGGAGATGGAGGAGGGAGGAAAAGGGGATGGAGGAGATGGAGGGGAATGGGGGCAGAGAGGAGAATGGAAGACAGAAAAGGAGAAGGGATGGAGGAGGAAAAGGGGGATTGGCACCATGGATTCAGGAATGACACAGACTCCAGGCCAGAAGCCCCCAGTTTATTGGAACCCCTTTTTATACCCTGGTCTGGCGCACCTGATTGGCCATTTAATTAACACATTCCACATGAGTGGCTAATTAATCACCTTTGGGGTGAACATCATCCGAGGAAAACGGCTTGTTCCCAACAGCCCCTGCAGGGTTTTTACCATTTGTTTACAATTCCTTCTCTCTGCCTCCCCAAAATTTCCCAGACCATTGTTCCAAACACCACCCACAGGTTTTTTTACCATTGTTCCCAACACCACCTGCAGGTTTTTTACCATTTATTTCCAATTCCTTCTCCCTAAAACTTCCCAGATGGATCCATGGGAAAGCTCATCCAGCTTTCCCTCTCTGACCAGGCTGTCACATCCACAGGGGACGGAGGAGGAGGAGGGAAAAGGGGCACGGGAATGGAGGGAAAGGGGAGGGAAAACAGGAGAATGGGAGGGAAGGGGGAGGGAGAGGGATGGGAAGGGAACAGGCACTGGGAATGGAGGGAGGGAAATAGGGAAACAGGGAAACAGGGAAATAGGGAAACGGGGAATCAGGGAACAGGGAAACAGGGACAGGGAAATAAATAGGGAATCAGGGAACAAGGAAATAGGGAATCGCGGAAATAGGGAATTAGGGAAACGGGGACAGGGAAATAGGGAATCAGGGAGCAGGGAAATAGGGAACCAGGGAACTAGGGAAATAGGGGAACTAGGGAAATAAATAGGGAACAGGGAAATAGGGAATCAGGGAAATAGGGAATCAGGGAACAGGGAAACAGGGAAATAGGACAACAGGGAAACAGGGAAATAGGGAACCAGGGAAATAAATAGGGAAATAGGGAATCAGGGAAATAGGGAATTAGGGAACCAGGGAACTAGGGAAATAGGGGACCAGGGAAATAGGGAATCAGGGAAATAAATAGGGAATCAGGAAACAGGGAAATAGGGAATCAGGGAACAGGGAAATAGGGAACCAGGGAAATAGGGACAGAGAAATAGGGGAATGGGGAATCAGGGAGCAGGGAAATAGGGAATCAGGGAAATAGGGACAGAGAAATAGGGGAACAGGGAATCAGGGAAATAGGGATAGGGAAACAGGGAATCAGGGAAACAGACATAGGGAAATAGGGAATCAGGGAGCAGGGAAATAGGGAAACGGGGAATCAGGCAACCACAGAAATAGGGACAGGGAAATGGGGAATCGGGGAAATAGGGAACAGGGAAATGGGGAATGAGGGAGGCAGGGAAATTGGGAACAGGGAACCAGGGACAGAGAGCAGGACCAGCAGCCCCCAGGATCCAAGATCCCTCCGTGTTTTCCCAATCCCCAGAGGCTCCAGCTGGGATATCCGGGATACTCTGGGTGCTGCTCCCTCCTTCCCACCCCGGGCTGGCCGTCCCAAAATTCCCAAAATCCCCAAAAATCCCAAATTCCCGAAGCCAAGGCTGACAGTACCTACTGCGGGCGGGGGGGGGCGAGGCCATGGCGGGGGGGGCTCAGCTGCTCCAGGGGCGTTCCTGCGGAAAACAGGGAAAAAGGGTTGGGAAAATGGGAAAAAGGGTTGGGAAGGGGGGAAAAAGGGTTGCAAAAGGGGGGTAAAGGGGCTGGAAAAGGGGGAAAAAAGGGCTGGAAAAGGGTTGTGAAAGGGTTGGGAAAGGGGGGAAAGGGTTGGGAAAGGGGGGAAAAGGCTTGGAAAAAGGGTTGGGGAAAAGGGTTGGAAAAAGGGGGAATAGGGTTGGGAAAAAGGGTTGGAAAATGGTTGGAATAAGGTTGGGAAAGGGGGAAAAGGGGCTGGGAAAAAGGGCTGGAAAAGGGTTGGAAAGGGGGAAAAAGGGTTGGGAAAATGGGTTGGGAAAGGAGGGAAAAGGGTTGGGAAAAGGGTTGGAAAAGGGGGAAAAGGGGTTGGAAAAGGGGCTAGGAAAAAGGGTTGGGAAACGGTGCAAACGGTTGGGAAAGGGGGAAAAAGGGTTAGAAAAACGGTTGGGAAAAAGGGTTGGAAAAAGGGGAAAAGGGGTTGGAAAAGGGGGGAAAAAGGGCTGGAAAAGGTTTGGGAAAAAGGGCTGGGAAAAGGTTGGGAAAGGGTGGGGAAAAAGAATCGGAAAAGGGGGAAAAGGGTTGGGAAAAAGGGTTTGGAAAGAGGGAAAAAGTGTTGGAAAAGGAGGAAAAGGGGAGAAGGGTTGGAAAAGGGTTGGGAAAACGGGTTGGAAAAAGGGTTTGGAAAGGGGGAAAAGAGTTGGAAAAGGGGAAAAACAACTGGAAAGGGGTGGGAAAAGGGTTAGGAAAGGGGGGAAAAAAGGGTTGGAAAAGGGTAGGGAAAATGAGTTGGAAAAAAGGGCTGGAAAAGGGTTGGGAAAGGGGGAAAGGGTTGGATGAGGGGAGAAGGGTCGGAAAAGGGGAAAGTGTTGGGAAATGGGGAAAAAAGGTTGGAAAAGGGGGAAAGGGGAAAAAGGGGGTGGAAAAGGGGGATCAGCCCAAATCCCAGCCCTGGAAAGGACCAGGAGGCTCCAGCGGGACGGATCCAGCTCAGGCTCCAGCTCGGGCAGGGAGCTGGGAAGGGCTCAGGGAGAATTTCTCCCGGGAATTGTGGATCCTGCTCCCGGGGAAGGGCGGGAAGCGCCAGGATCCGGCCGGGATCGATGCCGGGATCGATGGAGCCTCCGCCCGGAACCGAGAGCGCCTGGAGGGCGCCGGGAAGGGCGGCAAGGTCGGAGCCTTGGGACGATCCCAAGGGATGATCCCGGGAAAGGTTGGGATTTTCCCTCCTGGAATTCTTTTCCTGCAGTGGGAACCTCTCCTGGGTCATCCCACCTGGGAATTTTCCCTGTGGATGCGACGCCAAGCGGGCCAGAAATCCAGGAGGGGAATCCACCTGGAGATCAATCCACAAAAACTGGGGAAAAAATCCCCAAAAACCAGGAGAAAATCCCCAAAAATGCGAGATTAATCCACAAAAAATCCAGATCAATCCACAAAAAAATGGGAGAAGAGTCTCCAAAAACTGGGAGAAAAATCCCCAAAAAAATGAGATGAATCCACAAAAAGAACTAGGAGATCAATCCACAAAAAAAAAAAGGGAGAAGAATTTCCAAAATCCCAGGAGAAGAATCCCCAAAAACTGGGAGGAAAAATCCCCCAAAAAAACGAGACGAATCCACAAAAAAAATGGGAGAAGAATCCCCAAAAACTGGGAGAAAAATCCTAAAAAACCGAGATTAATCCACAAAAATATCCAGATCAATCCACAAAAAAAATGGGAGAATTTCCAAAATCCCAGGACAAGAATCCCCAAAAAAACAGGAGAAGAATCCCCAAAAACTGTGAGGAAAAATCCCCAAAAAACCAGATGAATCCACAAAAACCTAGGTGATCAATCCCCAAAAGCCAGGAGTTGAATCCACAAAAAACCAGATCAATCCACAAAAAAATGGGAGATGAATCCCCAAAAACCAGGACAAGAATTTCCAAAATCCCAGGAGAAGAATCCAGAAAAACCAGGAGAAGAATCCCCAAAATCCCAGGGAAGCTCCGGAACTGGAGATTCCCGGGACACCGAGAATTCCCAATTTCTGCAGCTCCAGAAAAAGCCCCAAAATTGAGACTCCTCAGGAAAAACAACCCCAGGATTGGGGTCGGGATTGGGATCCGGTCCCTTCCCGCTCCGGGTCCCTCTCCCAGTGGGAATTGTGGCCAATCCCAAATTTATCCAGGGAAAAGGTCACTCCCGTTTGGAGCGCTGAGCTCAGCCCAGCCCGGCCCAGATTTATCCCAGGCCTCCAAAATAATCCTGGGACTGGGATGGATCCAAGGGGAAAAGGGATTTTTCCCAGAATGTTCCATGCAGACAGGGGTAGGAACATCCCAGGAGCAAAACAAATCCCATGGGATGAGGAAAAACGGGATCTGTGGGAATGCACAGGGAGAGGAAGAGTGGGAAACGGGAAAATCCATGGGAATGGGGAATGGGGATTCCCAGGAGCTGCTGGGGATCCGTGGAAATGAAGTGGGAGAGGAAAATCGGGAAGCAGGAATGCATGGAAATAAACTGGGAGAGGAAAATCAGGATTCAGGATAATCCAGGGATGGCGAATCAGCCCTGGGAATGTGGAGGTTTGGGAGCTGCGAGGGATCCGTGGAAATAAATCAGGAGAGGAAAAGCGGGAAGCGGGAGAGAACATCCCAGGAGCAAAACAGATCCCATGGGATGAGGAAAAATTGGGATCTGTGGGAATTAACAGGGAGACGAAAAGCAGGAAGCAGGAAAATCCAGGGATGGGGGAAGGGAATGGGGAATGGAGATTCCCAGGAGCTGCTGGGGATCCGTGGAAATGAAGTGGGAGAGGAAAATCGGGAAGCAGGAATCCATGGAAATACACTGGGAGAGGAAAATCGGGAAGCAGGAATCCATGGAAATACACTGGGAGAGGAAAATCGGGATTCAGGATAATCCAGGGATGTGGGGATGGCGAATCAGCCCTGGGAATGTGGAGGTTTGGGAGCTGCGAGGGATCCTCGGAAATAAATCAGGAGAGGAAAAGCGGGAAGCGGGAGAGGAAAATGGGAAGTGGGATCCATGGGGATGCATGGGGCAGGAAAAAGGGGATGCAGGAGAAGCCAAGGATGCTGGGATGGGAAGATCCCTGGGAATGGAGATTCCCAAGGAGGCCCCAGCGCCGGCAGCAGCGGGATCCAAACCCCGGCCCGGCCCGGCCTCTCCCATCCCGGGATATTTTTATCCTGGGATATTTTTATCCCTGGCACCGGAGCTGCTGCCTGGAGGAGACACTGAGGGATCCGCCCTGGATCATCCAGGGACCATCCCAGGGATCCAAATCCATCCTGGGACCATCCAAGGACCATCCCAGGGATCCAAATCCATCCTGGGACCATCCAGGGACCATCCCAGGGATCCAAATCCATCCTGGGATCATCCAAGGACCATCCCAGGGATGCAGATCTGCACTGGGATCATCCCATGCATCCAGATCCATCCTGGGATCATCCCACGGATCCAGATCCATCCCAGGGACCATCCCAGGGATCCAGATCCATCCTGGGATCCTCTCAGGGATCTGAATCCATCCCATGGATGATCCCAAAGATCCAGATTCATCTCAGGATCATCCTGAGCCCTTCCCATGGATCTGGATCCATCCCTGGGATCATCCCAGGGATCCAGACCTGCCCCAGGATCATCCCATGGAACCAGATTCATCCCAGGGATCATCCCAAGGATCTGGATCCATCCCAGGGACCATCCCATGGATCCGGATCTGCCCTGGGATCATCCCATGGATCCGGATCCATCCAGGGACCATCCCACAGATCTGGATCCATCCCAGGATCATCCCAGGGACCCAGATCCATCCCAGGGATCATCCCAAGGATCTGGATCCATCTCAGGATCATCCTGAGCCTTTCCCATGGATCTGAATCCATCCCAGGGATCATCCAGGAGTCTGGATCCATGCCAGGATCATCCCAGGGATGTGGATCCAGATCTGCCCCAGGATCATCCCAGAGATCCAGATCCATCCAGGGACCATCCCACAGATCTGGATCCATCCCAGGCATCATCCCATGGATCCAGATGCACCCCAGGACCACTCCAGGGATGTGGATCTGGATCTGCCCTGGGATCATCCCAGGAATCCAAACCCATCCTGGGACCATCCCAGGGATCATCCCATGGATCCGGATCCATCCCAACCCGCTGGGCTTGGATCGGGGATTGGGAACAGTGGGGGGAAAATCCAGGATCCATCCCAGCAGGGAATCTGGGATCCAATCCTGTAGGAAATCTGGGATTCCTTCCAGCAGGAAATTCAGGATCCATCCCAGTGGGATTCGCTGGAATCGGCCCCACCCTGCTGCTGATCCCAGGAATAAATAACTGGGAATAAATAAATAATAATCTTCCCCAAAATCCCCTTTACCTTCCTCAAATTCCCCTTCATTTGGCCCCAAAAATTCCCTTTATTTTTCACCAAAATTCCCTTAATTTTTGCCTTTCATCAGACCCCAAAATTTCTTTTATATACCAAATAAAAATTCTTTTCATTTGTCCCCAAATCCCCTTTATTTGTCCCAAAATTCCCTTTATTTTTGTTATCGACAGGAATTCCCCTTCCCATTCCCGGCTCATCCCAACGGGAAAACCTCTGGATATCGGGATTTGGGGTGGGAATGGGGATTTCAGGTGGATCCATGGATTTGGAGTGGGAATGGGGATTTGGGGGTGGGAATGGGGATTTCTGGGTGAATCCATGGATTTGGGGGTGGATCCAGGGATTTAGGGCTAGACCCAGAGATCTGGGGATGGATCTAGGGATTTGGGGATAGATCCAGGGATTCTGGGGATGGATCCAGGGATTTTGGGGATGGATCCAGGGATTTTGGGATCGATCCAGGGATTTGATGTGGGAACAAGGATTTCCAGGTGGATCCAGGGATTCGAGGCTGGATCCATGGATTTGGGGCGGATTT